TTCTTTCCTATACGATGTGCACTCTATATCTGCTTGCATTAGTCACTGATATGGTAAATATTGGCAATTTAAAAATCATTTTACATTTGTGTTTATGCACAGTTATTACTTTGTCGTTTCTTGTTTGCATAAAGTTGTTTCATGAAGTTGTGTTTAGCATGCAGACTAGTATACTTAGCCCTTATTGACTTACAGGTGTTCAATTTGGCCCTCCAGCCTATATTTGTCAGAGATCATACTTTCGTTTCCAGAAATATTCTCTAATAAATCTTGTTTTGAGGTAAGTTATTTGTTCAAGAATATGTTTTCTCTGTGTGAAATTACAATTGTTGCCAAGGCTAATGAATCAATTGATAACTTTATTGAGTACTTCTCGTGGTTGAACTCTATTACTAAGTTTTTTGAAAAGCATATGATTATATTGGTAAAAGAAAAAGCAGAGAATAAATAACACAACTATGACTGGTTTTTCCATCTTTCCATGTACACATTTTGTATCTCACAATGCTAGTTTAGTTAATGCCTTTTTTTTTTATACTCTTGTGAATGCGGCTAGTATTATATTTCTGTTAGTCTTTAATAACCACAAATTTTGATTCTTTGTTTCTTTTTTCATTTTTGCAGGTTGGTTCAGGGGTCGGTTTGGTTGGAGTGTGCCTTGCCCAAGCAAAAGCTGCAAAGGTATATTATTCAAATTCCCATGCATACTTGGTATTGTTCTTTTCATAGCTTAAGATGCTGTTGCATAAAATCAAGAAGTATGTGGAGCATTATGGATTGGATCCTTCTAAAATTGGTTGCTTCCATAGTTTATGCTCCTAAAGTAATGAAATTGGCTTCTGATGACTACACAGTGAGAGAGCTACTGTGTGGACAGATACGGGTCAAACATGTAATCTACTTTTGGCTTACCTATGAAAAGAATAATTTTGAATGAATTATAACCTCTTGGTTTCCCTGTTGATGGTCAAAGCTTGATGGTAGTCGTAAACATTACTTGCGGTAACTTTGTTGAGGGGATCAAGTGTAAAAGTTTAGTAACTGGAAATGGAAATGGATTTTTCTGTATTTTCTGTTCAAGTGGAATACTATATTATGGTATGCTACAATTAAGTTACATCTAGTGACTGAAAATGGATCTTTCTGTTTTCTATGATGAAGCTGCTCGGATGGTATACTACATTATGCTATGCTGCAGTTAAGTTACAGATTTGGGGTTTGGGTGCGGGTCAATGTCTCATTTTTTTATGGCTCTTCCTTTGGATTAAATACAAGTGAATCTTTATTTTTCTTCAAACGGTAATCTAAATTTTCAGTAACCATTGCTGTTTCTGTGAAAAAAACATATATTTGATGCAGGTTATATTGACTGATGGTGACCTATCAACACTAGTTAACTTGAGGTCTAATTTGGAGTTGAACCAATTAAGCATAGAAACTGATTTCTCTGAAAATGAAGATTCAAATGTGGTAAGCTGCATTTTTTAGACTTTCGTTTTCTTAGCATTTTTTTTGCTGCTTAGCTAATTGTTTACTTTTGAAATTAATAAAATGATACTTAATTTTCCCCTTCATGTTGAGTTGTCAAGATGCCATGGGGAATAACCAAACATTTTTCTGTTTCCTATAAACTGTGTGCCTCAATATCAAATGTGGGCACATGGAAATTGAACCAAAATATCATTACATTATAGATAAAAGGTGATTCTTGGAATCGTATTAGGAAGTTGAAGTCCCCTTAATAGAATAAAAAAGGATTATGTGACCAATATTGAATTTAATTGTAAATTTCAGGTGAAATGCATTCATCTGCCGTGGGAATCTGCATCAGAAAGTGAGGTCCATGACTTTATGCCAGAGATTGTGTGAGTAGTTTAGCCATCTTATAATTTATAGTTGTCATGCATATACGGTAATTATCTAGGCTTGCCGGTGTAAAAGAAGGCAAGCGGGTTAATATTAATAAGTGAAGGGTTATATTTAATTTGCTCTATCAATCAAAAATTGAATTAATGGTGAGAGACCCTCTTAGTTTATACAAGAGTGAGTTATTTTACTGTCTTACTCCCTTATTAATATTACCGACTGTTAATTTCTCTTATTTCTCTTTCGGCAGTCTGGGTGCAGATGTAATTTATGATCCAACATGCCTCCCGCATCTCATCAGAGTTTTATCCATTCTCTTGAATCAAAAGAAATCAGATTCTCCGACACAGAAAGAGAGTTGCAAAGGCTCAATCCGAGATAGCGAATATGGTCATGACAGAGTCAACGATACCAATCAAGGGAAAATTCTTTGTGCAAATGACTTGGATAGATGCCATTCTAATCATAACGGAATTGATGCTTGTAAGGAAGCTCCCAACACTAGATCAAGTGAAGGCCCAGTGGCTTATATCGCGTCGGTCATTCGTAATATCGACACCTTCAATTGCTTTCTCGCACTAGCAAGGCAGGCTAATCTTGCTACTACAGATATAACTGAAACATTTAGGCCCTTCAATTTGCTTCCTTACATGCAGTCATATCAACGATCAAGTATTAGATTATTTATTGTATCTTGCAACACTTAACTATACTATTTGTACCTCTTTCTGGTTTTGAATATCTAGGCCTGCTGTTTAAGAAAACGGATATTGTAGGTTTTTTTTTTTTTTTTTTTTTTGTTCGGATTACCGGGGTTTATTCTTGGGGATCCACTGAACAAGCTATAGGCTCAATGGATTAGAAAGTCATCAATGTGGTAGGCGGCTTTGTATTAAAACCCGGACCAGACCGGCTGGTCGAACTAGTTCGATCGAGACCCGATAGTTTTTCCATTCTGGTCAGGGTTTAGGGGGTATTTGTAATATTTTAAATTTATAGGGATTCATGTTAATTTCTAGGGTTGTTTGGGAGATATATCAAAAGTTTAGGAATCAATTGGTAATTTTTGAAATAAATAAAAAGTTTATGGACTACTTCCAAATTTTTTAGGGATATTTTATAATATACTAAAATTTAAGGAATTAATATGTAATTTTAAAAAAATTAAATTATTGTTGACGTCATCAATTTGGACTGGTTGATTCATGACTCGGGTAGTAAAACGGGTTGTCCTCTAATCCGGGTTTTAAAACAATGATAGGTGGTCATTACAAAGACTTGAACATAAGACTTCTGGGTAATCCATCCATATGGTTGAAATCTTGTCATTCGATCACAAGTCTAGTTGTGGGTATTGTAGTTTTTGTAGTTGGGGAGGCAGGATTTTACTATAATCTCAATTTTTGCATCTAAATCCTCGAATAATTAATAATAGTAATAAAAGTTTAATGCTACGGTAGAGTACAGCTTGAAAATATAATGCCCAGCAACCAGCACTAATATTTTCTTAATTTGATTGTGGAATCCCAATGTGTTTTGAATTTAATTTAATTAGTGGAATCCCAAAGCGCAAGGTGAAACTTGAAAATCACCCCAACCAATCACCCGACCAAAACCAGCATTTAAATTAATCAAATTAGTCATGGCTTTTTGTGCAAAGCAAACACACTAAAAAAGGATAATACTTTTATATTTTGTTAATTGAGTCCGAGATTTTATTTATTATTCTTAAAATAATAAAATCTCAAATTTTAGATTTAATATCATAATAAATAATTATTAATTTATAATAATATAAATTTTAATGATTCGCTAATGATTTTTATTTCAGAAACAAAAAAGAAATCAGCATGTTTTTAATACTTTGTTTAAAAAAAATAAAAAAAACACTTCTAGTAATATAATTTTTTACAAGTCTACACCTATTTCATCTATCTTATTATAATCTATGGTAGAATATTCAATAGGCAATTTTTGACTAATTAATCTCAATTTCCTATTTTGATTAAAAATTTATATCAAAGTTTATTGAAGTTAATACCGGGGTTTTTGGGCCAACTTGCGTACACTTCAACTAATCATCGAGATCCATTGAACACCTTATAAACCCAATAAACTAGGTAAATCCAATTGGATACCACCACTGCAACCAGCATCTCCAACTCTATAAAACTCTTATGTCCCCAACAACCATTTAGTCACCGTTCACTAGTCGAGAGTTCGTGTTCATCAGTCCTTTTTTGGTGAAGTGGTGGATGGCAAACGGTGAGCTGTCGTAGCTGGGAAGGTTATGGTTTTTGTAGAGGAGGATGTGAGGAGTCAAATGGTGGTGGTGGTCGCCGTTCAAAACGGTCGGAAACTGACAAAAACCAATCACATGTTGCCACTGCCATGGCCGGCGATCGGTGAGTGATAAGGGGTTGTGAAGGGTAAGGTTTTGTAGAGGGGAGGATGGGGGTTCAAATGGTGGTGACAAGGGTGATTTTGGGTGGAAGAATCACTGGAAAAAGGGCGAAAAACGTCAGGGACACCATATGCTAATATGCGTCGAAGGACTGTTAGAGGGGGGGATCTATTAACGTACACCGTCCATGCAAAATGACCAATTTACCCCTTTACCGTTACATCAAACATTTTTCCGTCACTTTAGGGGTAGGAATCTGAAATAAATGTAACCAAGAGTACCAACTTAGGATTTTATTAAACCTTGGGTGGGAATGTGTCGTTTACTCTTACACAAATAATACTAATGTAATTCAAACTCCTTAAAAAAATTTTAAATAAATACCAGTAATTTTTTACTAGGGTCTGTCTCTAAATTAATTTTGTAAGGACTATGTTTAAATACCATTAGATTTATCCATAAAAATATTATTTTAGTCCAAAGATGATACGTCCAATGGGAATGCAATGTTGTATTCATTATTTTCTTGAAAGTTATTTTCCTTTTTTTTAACATAATTTTCAATCAATTGAGGGTTAATCCGATCGTATGCTAAGTTAAAGGACCAAAATGTTAGTATTTGAAATTAGTGTCCTCAGTATACGCTTACGTCAAAAGCCAGAATAGCCGCTTTCCTTTTCTTAATTGAAGCGAAATGCAGGTAGACCTGTCTTAAGCTAAAGACCGAACATGCCAGCAGTTACGTGGAGATATGTTGATGTCACGGATACTGATGTAACTATCTTGTCTGCGCCCGGTACAGCTCCAAGCCGCAACAGTTCTTTCTCTTTCTTAGTTTCCTTTTCCTAGACGTAGCTCAAACTGAAACTAACTGTTGAGTTGAAAGTTACAGTAACCCAGTTGAGTATTTTTCGATTTTGTTGTGAGCCTTTAGACTTATAAGAGCCGTCCCGAAAGAAACATCAGTTACAGTGACCCCATTTGGGTCTTTTGAAGAATAATGGCGGAAGAGATTGAGGTTATCCACTCATGGTCTGCTCCGGGATCAATCAGCACTAGTCTCATGTACTCCTTTGGTCAGGTTGATTTCGATGGTTTCTGCTTAGATTCAGTGTTGGTGAGCGTTTAGTTGTTTTCTTCGATATGATATATGAGTTTGTGTTGTGTTGTGTTTTGTTTTGTTTTCTGAGGGATGACATGGAAGTGCTTGATGAACCTCCGTATGCAACTTTTCTTCGGGCGACTGGTGTTGATCGTCCATATAAAGAGGAGCTTCTGTCGAAAATGGTATCTTCAGCCGAGGCTTTTTCCATCTAAATTTAGTATATTCTTAAACTCGTTTGCTTATCTTAATTGGTTGCAATTGTGTTCTAGTGGGACTTTTCATCTTAGATTGTTGTTTTTGTTTTTTGTCTCTTTGAATTTTAGGAAATATGTTGTGTTTAAATCACCCATTTGGTTGTGTGCTGGAGTGCAGGAATCTGATGGACATAAGGTTGTAAAAGATATTATTTATGGTCCAGGAGAAAAGAAATATCGGTTTTGAAAGGTAATATATAAAATTACTTCATCAAGAATTGACCCTTTTACTGATTGTGGTGATAATTGTGCTTTATGATAAGCAGAGGAGTAATTTTTCTTTTGGTGTTCATTTTCCTTTCATCATTGTCTGCAGCATATGGTAAAACAACGGGTAACTGGTTTGCCGGATGATTTGTTGAAGAAAGGAAAGCACATTATACTGATACAAAATCCTCTTGACATAATAGTAAGACCAAGTTTCTTCATTTGATCTTATATTCGGCTAATTGAAAGTATACAAATAATGTCATATAGCAGCAGAGTGGAGTAATGAATTCTTGAAACCATTTATTTATTATGTAATTGACTTGTTTACTCTGTATCTTTGATCTGTTATGCAATGTCAGCAATCATTTGGCAAGTTTGTTCGTCCATCGGTTAAAGAGTTGGGTTTGACTGATCTGCTCGCCGTGTACAGTGAGCTCTGTGAGCTGGGAAAAACTCCAGTCATAATTGATGCAGCAGATCTTCGACAAGATCCAGAGGTTATAATGCTTTAAATTTACAAAATATTTCTTGTGTATTCACTACTGTATGCTTTAAAGTCATTGAAGAAATAATATATACAATGGTGCAACATTTATACCGATCTAGCCTTGATGTATAATCTACATTTATATAATTAGAATCATGCTTAAACAATAAATTGAAGGATTTTGTACTCTGTACACATCTGAACATCAGTTTCTAATTACCAAGTCCGAGGGAATGCCTTCTAACTAATAAGCAGTTACTTTTAGATCTGCAAATAACATGGGTGATCATAAACATTACTAATGGTTAAAAACAATGAGACCTATGAATACCTTCTCTACCTCAACTTCTCACAACACAATTTCCAGAATACTCTCAACAATCACAACCAATCAACACACACAAACCACAATAATCAAGATCATTCAAGCACAAAACAATAAGAAATTAGAGTATCAATTAGCAAAAGAAGGAAATATTCACTGAATGAAAAATTGAACCAACTGGTCTTCGAGGGCCAGGACCTCCCAACAAGTCACACACATAAAATTCAGCATATCCTCCCACTAACTCGTATCCTCTCTTTTATTTTGACATTTAGATTATAGTAACAGTCTATGCCACCTGTCCATAAAGCTAATTACCCCTTTTGTCCCCATTTCTCTTTCGTTTGTACCACTTAGAAATATCAGGTCCATCAGAGACACACTAGCATAGAAGATTCGTTTTCTATTTTACAGAAGGAAATTGCAAGGTATGAATGTGGCATGCTTCAAAGTCATTATATCCATAGATCATTACTGATTTTCAACAATCTAATTCTTCAATGTGATGGTGAAATATAAAGATTTCAGGTCCTTGGGACTTCTAAGTATTAGACTCTATTGAGGCTCGAAAGATGACATGAAGTTTGTACTTTTGCATGAACTTTATATGTTTTGGAGTGGATTTTATTAACACTATCTCAAATTGATTCTATTTATATCTGGTTAGAAGTTTGTAAAATATATGAACTACTTGTTACCCTTCATGCTATTTTTTTGGCAACTGTTTACTGTTTTTGTCTTCATGTGTAGGCCGCTTTACGCAGCCTTTGTGAAGACTTGGATATTCCTTTTCAAGCCGCAATGCTAAGGTGCACAAATGCCATCTCAGTCAAACTCTTCAATTGGCTTCATTTACTCTATATTTAACATTTTTCTTTTTAAAATCAAAGAGTTATATACATGCGTAAGTTGAAACATTCTGACAAGTTTCTGGTCCAAATATAATCAGATGGGAAGCTGGTCCCAAACCAATAGATGGCTTTTGGGCACCATGGTGGTAAGAAAGTGCACACAAATCTACGGGCTTTAAGCCACCAAGAAAATATCCTGAGGTATGTGGTTTGTGCATAATGTTTCCTTGTTAACATGAATAGACTACTAATCAATGGTGGAACTTAATAAGTCATGCAACTTATTTAAAGAACCTCTCCTATTTTTCTCATAGAACTGCTCTATTTCTTTCAATAAAGATATATGTGACTGGAATGATGAAAATTGATTTTGATTTGGCATCTCTTATGGTGTTGAATTCCACATTGAATAGTGTCTCCTGATGCTAGAAATAATTAACTGAGGAGATTGCTTAGATCATAAAGGACTATAAGGTCAATTGATGTTCTTCCAGTATTGACCTGTAAAGTTGCAACTTCCTTCCATATTTACTCATGAGAAATCATCTGTTTATCACCTTGGTATTTTCTTGTGGTGGTGTCAGTCTGAATTTGATTTTAGTATCTGTTGGAAAAGTTTATAGAAAATCTAATGACTAAAATGATTGAATATTGGCTTCCCTAGCTTTTGCTCTCATCATTTTTCATTTTCAGCCATTTCAATTATCTCTTTATGAGTTGCTGGAGCAAAGTCTACCTTTTTACAACATGCTACGGCGTCATGTACGAAAATCTTCATCCCTATTGAAGACTCCCTTACCAGAACCAGATTTTCCAGTTCCTGCAAATAAGAAGCTGCTTGCGTGGGTTGGTGATGAGATTCTACCCCGCGATGAGGCAAAGGTACTTCATTATGGAAGGGAATCCATGAGCTGTTATTGGACAAATTGTGCATTTTAAGCTTATCACTTTCCAGGTTTCTGATTCTTGTCACCTCTGTTAGGTTTCTGTGTTTGACTCGATTGTCCAAGGTGGTAATGGTGTGTGGGAGGGACTTAGAGTTTACAATGGGAAGATATTTAAGCTTGAGGAGCTTTTAGATAGGTCAGTGACAGAAAGCTGAATGTATCATATTTTAGTAATGGTTCTATTTACCCAGACTTCTTTATTCATTACATTAACATACAAAATTAAACTTTGAAAAACCCTGAGGCAAGAAGCCATGTATGGAGTTTGGAAATTCTTAAGACAAATATAAGCCTATACATCTGAAAGAATGAAGCACAAATTTAGTCAAATTCTCATTCTGTTTTATTTTAAATATATTTAGTTTTTTCAAAAAAGTGCTGCATTTCCTTGAAAAACCCAGTTGGTAGAGCTGCACTCTTGCAATTGGGTCATTGCGATTACAGGTTGTTGCCATATTTTACTCCTATATCATGTGCTGGAGCTATTAGTTCCAGAAACGCCTACTTTAAAAGATGCAGTCACCTAAGTTGCACTTCAATGCGTGATAACCATTGGTTCTTTTGCAATCAGAGAAATATTTAATTTGCCTTTATTTTGACAATTTATGGAAAACTTTTCAATCTACAAAATAATTTGAGTTGGATTTACTTTTTTGTCAATAGGATGTTTGATTCAGCAAAGGCTCTGGCTTTCAACAACGTTCCAACCCGCGAAGAGGTAAGGGTTTGAGTAAGAATATACGTCAACTTGTACTGACTCCAATACATTTGGGCTGATTATTGTATTATTTTGATGAAAAGAAGTTGTTTGTTATATTGTCTTTTGCCTTTAGTTTTGAATTTCATTAGTACTTCGTAGTAACATTCTGCTACAAATTGCAGATTAAGGAAGCAATTTTCAAAACTCTCATCAGGAATGGAATGTTTGATAATGCACACATCCGGTTAACACTTACTCGTGGAAAGAAGGTTTATGATCTCACTTCCCCTCTTTCTTACTAACATGTTAGCTCAACAGATATATGCTGTGTCTTGTTGTTCCACTTTTTTTAATGACAGAACTCTTTCATGGTTTTACACCATGCATTTATGGTCTCTCTCATGTTTCATTTTCATGACCTTTTGGTACTGCATTTTCTTCACTGATTTGCAATATTCTTGTCTTTTCAGGTTACTTCTCGCATGGGCCCAGGATTTAATCTGTATGGCTGCACCTTAATTGGTAAGTCAATTCCAAGTCTTCAACACTGTGGATTAATTACATTGCTGAACAAATATTTCCCCTTGCTAATGCATGCGGGCTGGACAGCCATTAAGATTTGGTGTTTGTTTTCACAGGCTTTCTTATGATACATTTATTACTAAATCTGAAAATGCAGTGCTACCTGAATGGAAACCTCCCGTCTATGATAATACACATGGTGTAACGTTGGTGACAGCAACCACACGTTGTAATTCTCCATGAGTAAGATTCTTGGTTTCTTTATTGTTTTTAGTTGGATTGCTTTATACACTTCATACCCACCCTTCCAGCATCTTTGCATGACAAAGTTGGTATGTCCCTTGCATCCATTAATTAGATTGGTTTTCTTAAGGAATCAAACCATCAATTTCATACTACATTCTTGAAAAACTGTCAATTTCATTGATGATATCTTTTTCGATGGTCTACCCATCATCCTTTTCAAGTTGACATCAATCTGTCAAGCTGATTTGTTTTCAAGGCAGGAGGTCTGCCCTTCTGTATCTTTGAGTTTTTCACCCAAATAATTATACAAATATTTATTCAGAAGAAAACCAAAAAGTGTGTTTCCATAACAGGTTGTGAAAATTGACCCAATATTTTTGGTTGAGTGTTCCATTGTCCGTGTCCTTGCGCACTGATTTTGTGTTAAGCAATTCAGTATTTATTCATATTTAAAATTATCTTCAGGGAGCTGGTTCATGAATGTGGTAAGTTTTTAATCTTAAGTTTTCTTATGAGTTTTCAAATTATTGAAGGTGTATGTGACTGGCATGTTTCCATGCTGAATTTCAGTTAACAACAACATTTTTCTTCATATTTTTCAGAACTTGGATTCAAAGATTCATCACAATAACCTCCTCAATAACATACTTGCCAAGGTATTATCCTATCAACAGTAATACTACTTTTCCGAATTCAGTTTGACTGCATTTAAAAGTTAAATGTGTGCTTTTTGATTGATCATTCTTGCATATTACGGACAATGTGAATATTGTGACCTTTTTTGTATTGCATTTTGACAGAGTTAGATTTAATTGGTGCAGATAGAAGGGAATAATGCAAATGCTGCCGATGCGATCATGCTTGACAAGGATGGTTATGTCTCTGAGACAAATGCCACAAATATTGTAAACCTACATTTCTGTTAAAGTTTCTGATTTTGGACTGCATGTGAGTAAGGAAGGTTAAGATTCTTGTTGCTAAACCATCTTCCATTTCTGGCTCTATCTTCCTATTTAAGTTCACCTTTCTTATTATGATATAAGTGTCTCCAGATACATGTAAGTTTTCTCATTGAATATTTTAGAGGTTTCTCATCTTTATTGATTTGCAGTTTATGGTGAAGAAAGGTCGTGTTCTAACACCTCATGCTGATTATTGCCTTCCCGGTATCACTCGAGCAACTGTAAGTTGTAATAAACTTTCCTATTCATAGTAAATTTTATGCGCCGTTACATTCAATAAGATAACAAAGGCTTAAGCTTCTTATGTTCTCTGTTCTCAAGATAACTTTCTATTGATAAGAAGCTTGGTATCCTATAATTGATTCATTTTTGAGATTGCAGGTCATGGACCTTGTGGTGAAGGAAAAGTTAGTCCTAGAGGAGCGACGAATCAGCCTATCAGAGTTCCATACTGCAGATGAGGTTGGCACGCTTATGTTTAGAATCTCGACCGAGTACCTTTAAGATAAACATTCGCTTCAACTGTTCAATATCATTTTGATTATAGTATACTCTCATTTTGATTGAAGTAACATATTTGGGAGTTACTCTCATTTGAAAAAGGGTAAATTTTTGATGTTTTTGAAGCAAACAATCAAATCTGATTGTCTGTTCTTCTGAACTAAACAGGAAACCACTGAATATCATTTTTATGCATGCCATTCAAGTTCATGTTATTACTTATTACCCTTTTATATTATTCATTAATTACAGCAAGAATGGATGCTCTACAGGTTTGGACGACCGGAACAATGGGAGAACTCAGCCCAGTAAGTTTTTTCTTTTTCTTTTTTTTAAGATGATGAATTGTAGCAGCACGACATGCATGATAGATTAAACCGGTTGAGCCATATTCCTCCACCATGTGTGAGAGCTGGTTAGATCATGCCGAAATTATCTCCTTGACAGGTTGTGAAGATCGATGGGCGCATAGTTGGTGATGGAAAAGTTGGACCTGTGACTCAAAGATTGCAAAATGCTTTCAAACAATTGACAGAAGAGTCAGGAGTGCCTATACCATCCTACCATGAGACTTGAACAATGGATCTCCATAAAGGTGTGCTTTCTTCGCCTACTCCTTATTCAAATGTATGCTTTAGTTTTTTTTCAGTTCGGTCATTATTGATCAATAGTACAACACAATGGAATTGCAGTTGCTTCCCCCCAAGTGAATGAAGATATGAGTGTATGAAGCTTTTACCTATTGCCGGGCTTCAATAATAATGCAACTTTATATTCCATCTCCATTTGAGAACTTATATTTTCCGCAATAATAAACTCAAATAAAATAGAGAACCTGCATTTGTGATCCAAGCTTGAATAAAGATCTTCAATGATATTTGATTTCATATATGATGGGACGATCTCACTTTTTTCAACAAGTAAATCATACACCACAAAACATGATATAACCAACCAACATCATAATCAGTCTACTTGTCGGAGATGGACTTGGTTCCCTTCTCCTTGTCCGCCGCTGCATGTCATTTGATTAATTACATCATTATGCCGAGAAACCTATGTGATTTTACATGCTAATATCTCAACCGAATTTAGGTTGACCGGAAATTTCACACTTTCATTAACTACAGGAAGTTCAAAACAAGAGTGTCGCAACCAGATTATCCATTTGCATTATACAAATGGATGATTTAAAACATTGACTGGAGTTGATACCGCGACTACTCAAACTTAAGCCATAAGCTATTTTCCAATAGGGGTTTATCCAAGTAAATGCCAACTGGTTTCAACATTGGGTAGATAACGCCACCAACATATCGTCTTTCTAATCAAACAAATCAGTGATTACTTACTATTTCTTCAAACTGTGACTCGAAGACTGCAAAATGCACAAACAATTTTCAGAAGAATCAAGAGTGTCTATAACATCCAACCATGAAACATGAATAATGAAACTCCACAAAGGTGTGTGCTTTCTCTGCCTAATCCCCTATTTCAATGTACACATAGTTCCAAAGTTTGATCAATGCTAATTATAAATTCTAGGATCTCATCATTGAACAACACTACAACAACAGAAGAATTGCAGTTGCTTAGTTCTTCCCCATTAGATAATCTATATGCACAATGTTGTACTGCAGTAATAACCTTTTATAAAATGGAGGAATTTGTGATACTTCAATGATATTTCATTTGATATTTGATAGAAAGATCTAACATTTTAACCTGTCATAATCATAAAACTATCTTTAACAACAGTACCATAACAAATCATCCTAATGAAACATGAAATAACATAGAGTCAAACAAAAACACAAACCCACAGCATAATCAGTCAACATTCTGCATGATATCTTCCGTAGTGAACTTGGTCCCCTTCTCCTTATCAGCGGCGGCACGTCCCTTTGCCTTGCGGTCGAGCAACGACTTGCGGTCTTTGTCGAGTCTGAGTTTGGTAATGACCACCTTCGAAGGATTGATTCCGACGTTCACGGTCGAGCCGTTAACCTTCTCGCGAGTGATGCGCTCGATGTGGATCACCCACTTTCGGCGGTACACTTGGACGACTTTGCCCTCACGCCCCTTGTAGGTCCCACGGACGACCAGGATCTCATCGTCCTTGCGCACGGGCATGGATCGAACATTGTACTTCTGGCGGAGGTCGGTGGAGAGCGGCGCGCTCATGAGGACACGTCGCACGCTTGACGGAGCCGTGAAGTGTGCCTTCCGGCTCTTGCGGCGGGAGGACGAGACTCTGGGGTTGTACTTCATGGTTGCTGTGGGAGCTAGGGTTTTGCTGAATCGGCAGGTGGAGGGTTAATAAGAAGCTGCTGTAAGAGAGAGTCGATTTATACAGGGATATTATCTTGAGGACCCCTAATGTTTTTGTTGCTATTGGATTATGAACTTGTTTTTTTTATTTTTTTAATCAAAGTTAACCTTATAGTTTTGAAAGCTTACACTGGTACCCCTTAACTTATGATTAGCATCTAAAGGTTAGAAGCGTAATTTTATTGCTGTAGCTGTTCAGTAAACAAGTTGTTTGCTTTGGTGGGTCAAATTCCTTTCAACTTCGGTTGATATAGTATCATTGTGGTATTCTTTTCTTTTGACAGTATTATTTAAACACTTAATTGGGATTCGAGCTTCCTATGATTTGGAATTTTGATCGGAATCTCGTTTATATATAACAAATTAACAACAGGTCGATAGTAATTTTGTGATATTTTGAAATTAATAGCCAACCTTTTGAAGAAAACTTGCCTAAGACACGCGCACTTTGTCAATAGCTGATTTGGTGAGATGGGCTTTAGAATAAACAGCCTTAGGGACGTTTGGTTCAGAGAATGTTAGATTACTGGAAAGTTAGATTATCTAAGATTACTGAGAATTTTTAGGAAAATATGTTTGGTTAATTGATGAGTATGTTATATTAATATGTTTGGTTGATATGAATAAATTGATAGGTATGTTATTTAAATTACTGAATTATTCTCTAATTAAATATTATTATTATATTATTTTTCAATATTGATTATTATTTGGATTATTATAACCCCCTTGCATTTAAAAACTTAACAAAAACAATCCCATATAAAAGTTTGGAAAATCAACAAAGCACCCCCACCAATCCAGCCATTGCCGGCCGCCAGCAACCACCGCGGGCCGCTGACAACCTAACGAAGCATGAAAGACAGGAAATGACATTCGTGCGTCGTATGACCATTTCCGGCTAGAGATCTGGCAAAAAATGGCCAGACGTGATAGATCTGGCCGTTAATGGCCAAATCGATGATCGATCTAGCCATATCGGCGCATAGTGGCCATTTTCGGCCTTCCGTGCACTATTCCGACGGCGGTCACGATTGGTCGAGACGGTGGTTACGGCAACAGGCGGGTGGGGGTGGTGGCTTGGGTGAGCTGCAATTTGTTTTGAATTCAAGGGTAATTTTGTCCAAAAAGTTAATTAATTTGGGTGAAATAGTAAAAACTATATTCATGTAAATAAATTTAAAAATAAGGGTATTATTGTCTTAAAATTTTATTAATAAGGGATAAAATTGTAACAAAAAAAGATTACTTTGGTAATCTTAGAATATCTAAGAAAATGGAGGTAATCAGATTACTTCTAATATTACTCACAAAACGCCCCCTAAGGTTTAATGTAAGTAAACTAGATTCGGAGGTTTAAACAAGTGGTATTACAAACCCAAGTTTTTGTTTAACTTTTTTATTTTATTTATTAATTTTATAATTTGTATCTTTTATACAATTATTGTTAATTATTCTATCATAAAAAAAATACTAAGTTTTTGCTATGTCGTCTTTTCATTTAGTAGTTATACGACATGTCGTGTAGTTTGGGACAAGAATGTAATTTACTTTAAATATAAAAATCTAAACTCCCGCCAAAAGCTAACCTATAAATTCAGACTTGAGTCTCTTTGTTAACGAATTAAATTGAAAATTTTTACTGCCGGTCCTGTTTGGTTGCTGAGAAAACATACGGTAAAGGAAACGAATTGTCTGTCTTTTTCTTTTCTTAATTTTCAAACTGTCCTCAAGTCCACTTACTTTGGAGTGTGATTCGGTTATTCGGCTCTAAACCTCCACGAACTCCGCGTTTCACAATAATCGAATCATCTCTTTGTTTGGATACTGAGAAAATGCAGCAACAGAAGTAACGAAAACTTAGAATTTTTGTTTCGAAATTCTATTTTCCTTTCCTTTTAATTTTCACGGTAATCAAACAACTTCGCTCTACTTTTATGTACTTTTCTCTTTCCCTTAATTTGTGACGAATTTGAATCGTCCTTTTTTCTAAATTATAATCTCCGGTTATTCACCGAAGGTTAGGTTTAGTTTGTACAATTAGTTTTACGTAATTTTCTTTTCCTTTGTTTTCTCGGGAACCAAACGCACGAACAAAACTGTATCGATCATATTTCTTGATGAGTTTAAAACATAACTGTTTTCTGTGTTTTATTGTTTACGTCTAAGCACTCGTATATCTATTCTTGTTACAGATTTGAGATCTAGACTTCAAGCAGTACAAAGCAATGTCGAATATAACAGTCTGTGCTCGATTCAGGCCTTTAAGTTCAAAGGAGAAAACTAATTTCGGCAATAGTGTGTGCATTCGCGGCATCGATTCTGAGACTTTCATTTTCAAGGTCCTGTTTAATCACAATATCTGCTTACAAGCACGTGAATATGTCTCATGTAGCGTCTTTGAATATGCATGCTATAAGTCGGTAAATCTAGTGATTTTCGATGATTATATAACAGGATGACAAAGAAGAAGAGTTTAAGTTTTGCTTTGACAGAGTGTTCTATGAGAATTCTGAGCAGGTTGATGTTTATGAATTTCTTGCTCTGCCTATTATTCGAGGTACAAACTTGTAGACTTTTTTTTATTTGTGTGTTTGTTTGAATGTTAGAAGTTCTTATTAACTGATTGTAAACATAATTCTCTGTTTCCTCTTCGAGATGTAAAAAGATTGTTTTCAGCGTCTTCTCGAGAATTAATTGAACTTGTCTTGACTGTTTTTCTCCTGTCATGCTTTTAACTATTTACTCTGTTCATCTTGATGATACAGATGCTGTTAATGCTATAAATGGGACCATTATCACTTATGGACAGGTGAAAAATATTTGGGTCCAAAGATGCCTGTGTCTTTGAGTTGATTTTACTCTGCATATTTGCTAGTTTCCAAGTATTTGTAAGTAACTCAGATCTGCTTATGCGTATGTATGTACACGCACACAAATTGTATAAGAGATAATTAGATGGATGATTCGTTTTTTTAATTTTTTGAGCGGGAAGGATTATTCTTTGCTATCCAATCAGACATGAAAGTGCCTCAAATTAGACAATTTTGAAAGAGGAGTTGAAGTAGTGGTCAAAGATATTATGATTAAATGATTTGCTTTTAATGTGACAGTAGTCAGGAGAGAATCTGAAATAGTATGAATTATTGTCTTGATTATATTTAGAGAACATTGAAGACCAGAAACATTCTTATTCATTTATCCAGTTGGAAAGTCATCTCATGTCCCATCAATTCATTAGCCTAGGTGATCCTGTTCGCATTCTTTGCTATAAGAAATTATTCCCTCTGTTCCAATATTTGCATGATATAAAAATCATGTCCATTCAAGATCCAGGCGACCTTTATGTGGAACTGCAAGAGCTGAATCGCGCACTTTCTTTGCCACTGTTTTTCATAAAACATTCTTTACTTTTTTCATTTGATTTCACTATATCATATATTTCTATATCACTGACAAACCTACTTATTCCTTTGGGACAGACAGGTGCTGGGAAGACATATAGCATGGAGGTGATTATATGATTTCATATGTACATATTCCAGAAATACTAGTGATTTTAGCTCATATATGGAAATGTTTATCAAACAGGGTCCTGACATCCTGGAATCTGATGAACATAAGAAAGGATTACTCCAGAGAGCGGTAAATGGACTATTTGAGTGCATCAAATCTTCAGAAGAATCAGTCAAGTACACACTTAAGTTTTCAATGGTATGAGAAACACTTAGTGTTACTTTAATCTTGGACTATTTGCTGGCATTAGCTGAACTATCAGTGATACAGTTTTTTTCTGAAACCTCTATGTGACGCCTGTAGGTAGAGATCTATATGGAGAAAGTCAGGTGTGTTTCATGCAGAGATGTAACCCACACTCTGGCCTAAGTGTAAGTTGGAACTAAACTGTGTCACTGATTTTTTTTTTTTCTCAGGGACCTTTTAGATTTATCAAAGGACAACATACAGATTAAGGAGAGTAGAGTGCAGGGAATACTGTTATCGGGAGTAACAGAGGTGATCACATTTCTCACTAACTGGTGTGGATAATCTTAGCATTCATTATTGTTTTGATTTTCACTTAACACGATACAACACAGGAGTAACACTCGATACTAAATTTTGCATGGGCATACATGTGAAAAGTAGATAGTTTCTGTAGTTCAAGCAATCGATTTTAAATCTTAGATTGGCGAAGCGTATAGCAGTCAATGTCAAAAGAATTAATTTTTTTTTTTTTAAAGTAATTTAAAACCAGCCAGCCTTGTTTCAATTTTTTTTGGCATTTAGCTTTAGATATTCCATGACATTTAATAGCAACACACCCCATTATATCAGGGTACTTAAAACTGAGACGTTTGTATCAAATTGGAAGCCAAATATCAATTGGCTGTCGAATTTCTTGATCAATATTACTAAATTATTTTTACAAAGAGCCTTTAATAGGTTTCTTCTCTTTTGCAGATTTCTATCTCAGACCCTGCAGAAGCAATGCAAAGCCTATCTGTAAGATAGGAACTGCATGAGAGCTTTAGTCTCACTAATATAGTATATTAACTTCTAATATAAACTTTGAATTTGCAGAGTGGGATAGCAAACAGAGCAGTTGGAGAGACCCGTATCCTTTGTTATCTCCATTTTTTATTCGATGAACTCCTTATTATGCAATAGTATAAGGAAGGTCTACATCATAAACATTAGTGGTCTTTTTCTTTTAGATGAACGTCATATGCTATTTCATTAACCTTAATATGTGACAGAAATGAACATGGCCAGCAGCAGAAGTCATTGTATCTACATATTCACAGTCCAGCAAGAACTAAATAGAGTAAAAAGGTTTTATTTCTGCCCTAGATATGTTAAAGATTTCAAAGTAATTAATCCCTAACATTTCAGACTGTTGACAGGGTGAAAGAGGGAAAATTTGTTCTTGTGGACTTGGCAGGGTCTGAGAAAGTGGAGAAAACTGGTGCTGAAGGGAAAGTTCTTGAAGAAGCCAAGACCATCAACAAATCCCTTTCGGCCCTCGGGAATGTAATAAATGCTTTGACCTGTTCACCGGGAAAAGCAAACCACATTCCATACCGTGATTCCAAGCTTACTCGGATTCTCCAAGATGCTCTTGTTAGATTCATTCCTTTCAGCTAACTCTTCTCAGTCTCATCAAGGTTGAACTAAGGATCTACTGTTTTTCATCTTGCAGGGAGGAAACTCCAGGACTGCCCTGCTGTGTTGCTGCTCCCCAAGCTCTTCAAATGCACCAGAAAGTTTATCTACTCTTCGCTTTGGCACAAGGTTCATAATTAGAAACCCTCCTTGCAGAGAATGCTATTGTACTGTCATACACGGAGGATAATAGTAGGAAATTAATTGAAAGGGAAAGAAATATTTTTGCAATATTAGCACCAACGGTTTTTCTGTTGTCATAGGGATAACTGTCACCGTACTGAACTTTTTAACTGAAACATTGAGCGTTAGAGTCCTTAATTAAGTGGATATTGTTTGATAATGATTTGTACTCCTCTATTCAAAGTTCAAAACATCCTTATAATCAACCCCCAAAAAATGTACAGTCATAATCATCAAAATAATAAGTTAGTATGGGGTCATTCACTGGTGTTTGTCGTTTTAACTCTTGTGGCAGGGCAAAGCATATAAAGGCATCACCACGTGCCAATAGCAGGGAAGAAAATTCTGGTAGAGATCATGAAGCATCATATGCAACTAAAGTTGAGTCAAGTGAGAGAATTCTACATCAGGTAAGCATTATGTTTCGGCACTTTCTGTATGCACCTTTTACACTAGTTTCTGAGACAATCTGTGTTCATATAGTTGAGGGAGAGACTGGATTTTGAAGATGTGAAGTTACTTGAAGAATTATTCACTCTGGAGGGAATATTCTTTGAACCTAATTCAGTTGAAGACTTGGAATTGGCGTATGAAGATGTTACCTTCCGAACAATTTCCTCACTGAAACAAGCTGTGGAAGAGCTTACATGTACTGTTGAGGAGGTAAGACAAATCTAGAGAAGAAATTCGACAATTTTCTTGGAATTGAATGGTTTACTATTTCATTCAGTCCTTGTTCTCTACACAATGCCTTTTGATTACTACAATTAAATTCAAAGATGAAAGCTGAGATAAAAGAGAATGTAACCATTTCATATATAGTTATATGCATGTTTTAACAGACACAATTACTGGGATTTTCTATTTTTTGTAGCTCAATACTGAGAACAAGGTCCTCAAGAGCAGAATGGCAGCTGCTCAAAGGATTGATGCTCTGCTTAAAGAGACAGAAGAAAATGGAAATGCAAGTTTTCTTCATAAAATCTCAGACCTCCGCAAGTTAGCTTCCGTGGTCTGGCCATTCTCTGTCGTCAAGATACTGAAATCAAAACTATGATGCTTGCACCAGGAGAAAGGTTATATTATGTAGTACTTGCATATGCACTGCTTACCTAATAATAATTCTCCGCCTTAGATTTTAAGCAATGAAGTAATTTGATCATTCTTGCGTAGAAGGATTTGAAAATTCTAGACACCTGAAATGGAGATACCATGATGCTGAATTGCCTGGTTATGGTTTGTAATATAACTGAGATTTTCAGGATTACGACTAGGTCTGACTAGTTCACGCACTAATAAGACTAAAAGCATGACAACTATTGATTACCAAATTCGAGGTTTGTTGCACCATACGTGTACTTCTTTCTTCTATCTTTGAAATTGCTGTCTCTGTTGATGGGCTCTGTCTCCTTTCTTGTATAATTTACCACTTGGGACTTTATTTTTTTATTGCTGAAAGGTGGAATTGGGTAAACTTTGAGTCATGGGTAAAGAGTAGGAAGGAATTCTGCTGGCATTATGTTGTTTACAGACTAAAGAAATAATTTGAGTACACATGTGCTTGCCATCCATTTAAGGAAAATTCAACACCTTTGCAGCTTTGCTTACACAACTCTCTCTGTTCCACTTCCTTCTCTAACGCCTCACGCTTTCCCTAATTTCGTCTATTGCCCCAATCCCATCATTTTTCTTTTGACTTAACACTTCTAATTCAAAAAGTTAAAACAATAAATTTTTGGTCCCTGAGGTTTGGCCTAATACATAAGATCCGGTAGAATTGAAGTAACACTTAGACCCTTATCAATTATAGTTATTTAAAAGAATTATTCTAAATTTTAAATAAAATTATCCATTAAGAGCAGTTTATTCATTTTTTAATAATTATGTTAATTTTTAATGTTGGTTACATAAGACAAGATAACCGTCGTTGGGTAGTCAAGTGATCAATTAAGACTTTTGGGTGTATTACTTAAGAGGTTATGCGTTCGATTCACTTTAGCCTTTAATAGGGGTGACAACTAGAGCTTTTATTCTGTCGATAGTTTCAGAATCTTGAGAAATTAATTGAAGTGTATGTAAGTTGACCTAAATACCTTCGATGATTTTAAAAAAAAAAAAAGTTGGACAAGGTAAGGAATATAAACCTTTTGAGTGATAAAGTGTCACCTAAGTGTTGTTATTAGATTTTAATGGGACTTAACATGCTGAACCTCAGGGACCAACATGTATTTAACTCATATTACCGTTATCGATTCAATTGTTATTGTATACATCTAGACTAGGATAAATAGACGTGTGAATTTTTAAATTAACAAATAGTGTAGCCCTTTTCCCAATAGGCCGCAAAACAACATTGGGATTCGTAGAAGAAATAAAAATTTGTTTCACGAGATGCCTTCAATAAAGAGCAAGTTGATAATGTGATTGGCATAAAAGATACTGTAGATACGGACCCAGAAAAGAAAATCTTTGCTTTTGGCTCTCATATTTGCCTTTCTGTAAGTTAAAGCAAACCTTTCACTCCCTTTCGTACATATAAAACCCACCCAACTTTTTCTTTATCATTACAAGATTTTTAATACCGTTCTCGGATTCAGTTGTTGGCATTGTTGCCCAGTAACATTCGTACTTATTATTACTAACTAGCCATGCCTACTGCCAAGTCCTCTATCATCCATATTCTGACCTTATTCTTCATTTTTAATCCCATTGCTTATTCTATTGACTTCAATTATCCTGCAGTCTTCAACTTTGGTGACTCTAATTCAGACACCGGTGAACTTGATGCTGGCCTTGGCTTCCTCCTTGACCCTCCTAATGGACAGATTTACTTCAAAGAGTCAGCTGGGAGATTCTGTGACGGCCGTCTTATCCTAGACTTTCTCAGTAAATTTTACCTTATTAATATTAAATTTTTGTTTATGTTTTAAGTTTGTTTGTTTGTTTGTTTTAATTTAAAATATATATAACATTTAATAATAAGGACACCTGAACTACTCTTTAAACATTTAAATTCACATTGATGAACCTTCATGAATTTATAAATTATATCTCACTTTAAGTTGACTATAAAAGAAAATTATTTGCAATAAAACTGTGGCAAACCCATTATGCCTATTTTCTTCATTGAACATACTATATAGTATATACTCTTTTGGTGGATTCATATTGATCCCCTTAGGTTTGATTAAATAACAAAAACCCCCTTGATAACTAGGTGTGAGCATGAGTAAAGGATAGAACTAAAACCGGCAGGTATCTACCCCTCGGTTTTATTTTAGAAAATTGGAACAGGAATTTTCAGGTTCGGTTCTTGTTCCTGTAGTGTTGGAATTGGGAACTGGAATCGAAACCAATGTCCGGGTAACTTGGTAGAAACCATGATTAAATTATAATTTTTGTAAACTATTGAAGGCGTTTTTATAATTTTTTGGAAGGTATTTGTCATTTTTTAAAAAATAAGGGGATAATAAATTTACTCGAGTACCCAAAATCAAAATCTATGTTTCAAGTTTCAGTTTCAGGTTTCTAAGAATCGGAGCCGATCGATTTCAATTTCTTAAAAAATGTAAGTACCCAAAACTAATCACCCTTATTGATAACCATTACATAGCTTTTAGGAATAATACTACTTACAAGTTAATAAATATTTATTTAATTATTCCTAGATGGTTTTATTTTTTATTATTTCAAAAACCTCGAAAGAATTTTTGTCGTATTGTCGGTAACTCCTGTTATTTGGTCATCGAAACATGATGAAACAACTGTGTTTTTTTGGCTTTTCATTTAAGCTTTCTATAATTTGAAGCAAACTTAAACTACACCCATGAGACCCCCACCAAACTACCTTCAATCATGACAGGTTTTACAAAAACTAATATGTAGTCAGTAGTTGGTAACTAAAATTTATTTGAAAGCTACAAGCCCTCTTGCTGAAGCTCCTCCATCTCCATGGCTACCAAGCCCTGGATTCTCCAAATCTTCGCCTTCGTCTCCTTGTTGTTCCCTGTAACTTATTCCATTGACTTCAACTTTCGGGCTGTTTTCAACTTTGGAGATTCCAATTCTGACACTGGTGCTCTTATTGCTGCTGGCTTTGAGCGCATTGATCCTCCTTTTGGACAGATTTATTTCCGGAAACCATCTGGGAGATACAGTGATGGCCGCCTCATTATCGATTTTCTTAGTATATCACCGCCATTTCTTACAACTCTTTTAGCATTTACATTTTCTGATTCTGTATGCAGATTGAATTCAACTATATTCATTACAACTCTGCTTCCTTCCAGCTTAATCCCCTATTTTCCCCTGTTTCCTCTGTTTTTGATTAGAAATTTTAGTAGCTCTTTGTTGATTTTTCTGTGGTTTGGTTTAAAATTTTAATTGTTTGGATAATTTTTGCAGTGGATGCAATGGATTTGCCATTTCTGAATGCATATCTGGATTCAATAGGTGCTCCGAGTTTCCAAAAAGGATGCAATTTTGCAGCTGCAGGATCAACTATACTTCCAGCAAATCCAACATCTGTTAGTCCATTTTCATTTGGAATTCAGGTGAATCAGTTCCTTCGTTTCAAGCGTCGCGTTCTCGAGTTGCTAGCTAAAGGTTTATACTTTATACATGGATCCTCTTAAGTTTGGATTTTATGCATAACTTGTTTAATTAACTAAATGTCATTTAAGGGTCTTCAATGCTGGAAAGACATGAGATTTTAAGAAACACTAACAGAAACCCATTTTGTTTAATGTAATTGCAGGTAAAAAATTGAACAAGTTCATTCCATCAGAAGACTATTTCAGGAAGGGCCTTTACATGTTTGACATAGGCCAGAATGATCTTGCTGGTGCATTTTATTCCAAGACATTGGATCAAATTGTTGCATCCATTCCAACAATTTTGGTAGAATTTGAGACTGGCATAAAGGTCAGATTGGAAACAGTTGAATATCACATTTCATTTTCAATTAACTGCTCCTTCTGATCACTTAAAAACTGTTCGATTCATTCGTTTGTTGTCCAGAAACTATACGACGAAGGAGCTAGGCAATTTTGGATTCATAATACAGGACCCCTTGGTTGCTTAACTCAGAATGTAGCTAAATTTGGTACTGATCCATCAAAGCTGGATGAGCAAGGATGTGTAAGTGGACATAATCAAGCTGCTAAACTCTTCAATATCCAGCTTCATGCTCTCTGTAAGAAACTCCAAGGCGATTATCCGGACTCGAACATCACATATGTTGATTTATACACAATTAAATCAAACCTCATTGCAAATTATTCGCGATATGGTTAGCAGCTCGTAGTACTTTCATCACAATTTTTATCTCAATATTCACTCTTCCCCATTTCAGGAAATTCTAAAACTAGTTCATCTCTTTTCGCTAATTTCACATTGCAGGTTTCGAGCAACCTATAATGGCATGCTGTGGAGTCGGAGGTCCACCATTAAACTATGACAGTAGGATTTCTTGTGGACAGACAAAAGTTATAAATGGGATCACAGTCACAGCAAAAGCATGTCCTGACAGCACTGAGTATGTGAGTTGGGATGGAATTCATTTCACAGAAGCTGCAAATCAGTATGTATCGTCGCAGATACTCACCGGGAAATATTCTGATCCACCTTTCTCAGATAAAATGCCTTTCATTCTTAATCTCAAGTTCTGAAGACATATCATGGTTATTTTAGTAACTATCTTTTTACTTCTTAATCTAAAGACTCCAATCTGTACTTGCCACTAATCTGAGTTTGGATTCTTCATTCCTTAATATTAAGTTATAGTATCCGAAAAACCATATTTGTGTGTTGTTATATTGTATGTTTGTTATTATTTTACAAGAAAAACATGATAACCAGCAACATGTAATGTCTCTAATTGAGTCCCATTTTGTTAATGAAGAGCCTGACATGTGGGTTAATAACCATATGAACATCCTCCTTTTATAATTGGTATAAGATCATATCATCCTTTCGGGGTGAACGTCGGACAAGGCGATCTAAAGAATGCAGTTACACAGCAGTCGGGATCGATCCATGGACTTCAATTCTGGAAACAAGAGATTGAATGAAATGACTCAAATTAAGTCCCACATCGCTAACGAAAGATGGTGTTTACCCTCCCTTTACAAGCCGGTTTTACCTTAACAAAATAATAGAAAAGAAATTGCAATCTTTAATCCAATCAAATCCATGTATCATCTTATATCTAATCGGTAACTATCAAACTAACACAAGGCTAATTGCCCTCCTGCTCTACAGTGCCTACTAAGCCATGCATATTCCAAATCTTCACCATTATATCCCTCTTGTTACATGTAACATATTCTATTAACTTCAAATTTCCTGCTGCTTTCTCAGTTAAAATGTCTTTCCTCTTGACGTATTAAGGTTGTTTCTGTAACCATCTCATTCAACTCTTTTCCCTATATTTATGGACTTCAAGCAGTACTTGTCAGTCATGGACCAAATATTCTGTGATGGAAATCAATAATCCAGTTTGTTCTGTGATGGAAGTCTGTATATGCAGTACTTGAAAACTTGCATCTGTAGTAGATTTATGTCTCCAAAACAGCTGGAATCTGTAAGTCTAATGTACAACTATAGATACACCTTTGAACTTGAAACATTAAAATGGTTTTGCACATGTGCAGACTGGTAAAATTATGGTCAGTCAAGAAACCTTAACACCAATGATAGCATAGACAACAAAACTCCTAGTAAATTGGCTCCAAATGTATGATGTTTTGCAAGAAAAGCATGAAAATGAGTATTGTTAACTGTTCATCTTTTGAGCTATCGAAAGGTCTTAGAGCAGCACTGAGAAAATGGCAGCACATACTCGAACTCAGAAATCATGATTCTATTATACATTTTATGAGTTCAAAACAAAAATCTGTACTTTATCTTCTGATTGCAAGTTTTTTGTCAACAAATTATAAGCAATAATTTGGACAACCACGTTTTACAAGTGACTTGAAAGATCTAAAAAGCAGATATTTCTATCACTTCTTGGAGACATAAGCATAGTATTGTGCCATTGGAACGACAAAAGCAATGACCAACAAACCTCCAACCACAAGACTGAATTGTCCCCGTTTCTCTTCTGTCTCTTCCCTGCTCTTGAAATTGGATTCTCTTTTATTTTCCTTAAAAGCTGGCCCCCCAGGATCTGGAAGTCCATCAATTGCAGCTACTAGCCTCTTGGCAGAGCTATAAATTGCTTCATTGTACTTTTCTTCCGTGGCCAATACTGATAATATAAACCAAATAAAACGATCAAGAATGAAATAACTCTAGAATCTTAACAATAAGTATGAAAACAAAATGTCTAGTTACCAGGAAGGTTCTCAGATACAGTAGAATCAAGAACAGTTTCTCCAACAGCTTGGACAAATGCAGGGCCACCTGTGACTGCCCCCTCCTTTTGACTGGTAATTAATACAACAATGCCCTTGTTATTTCCCTCTTCAACAGAAGGATACCATTTCTCTAATACTTGGTCAGCATACTCAAAAGCATCAGCTTTGCTCTGCAATTAATTCAATTATCAATATCCAAAATCACAAGCACCAAGCAGTTAAATTCTTGTTAGTGACATTTATAATTGCGTTTATGTACTTTTAGATTCAACAACATACCTAAAAATCCTTAAATTCAGATAACAAACAACTCCAATTCTTCAAATCATCAAAAGGGTGTCTCAAAAGAATAAAGATTCACACTATTATACTAAACAAATGCATACTAACAAGCACATAACACCAACACAAAAGCAAAAGCAAAACTTACAGTGAGCTTCCTAACAGTGATGAAGTTAATCCTGAAGTTCTTTCTAGACTCCAAATCAGACAAAAGCTGCTTCAAGTCCGACTTTGTGACTCTACTAAGCACACCAGCATCATCAACTACATATGAATCTTTTGGTGGACCTTCATTGATGACGTCAAATTCAGATGCCAGTGCATTGCCAGAGTACACTAGTGGGCAAAAGTTGAGTGCTAAAGAGAGAGCTAAAGCTGCTAATCCTTGTTGTGCATGAGTAAACCAGCTTCTGGGTATTGGAGACAATGCCTTTAGTGGTTGAAAAGACTGTTTTTTGAGACTGCAAGTGACAGTTTTGGGGTAAAAAAGTGAACTTGATCTTTGTTGTAAGGAAGGTGACAAAAGGGTCTTTGGAGAGGAAGATTTTGGGTTGAGAAGAGGGGAGATAGAGTAGATAGGGTGAGGAGAAAGAATAGTTTCCATGGTAGAGTTAAGCAGGTGAAATGGTGATATGAGAGAAGAAAGAATTGAAATAATAGTTTTGCCTCTTACACTCACTCACTCGGTTGTTCATTTGGGTGGTTGCTATTTGCTTGTTTTTTTGATTGGTTGGCTGAAATTTGAATGAGGATAATGTGTTTCTGTCCCAACCATGGAAGGAACCAAGGGCATCTTGGGACATACAAGTCACCAAATATCTTGCAAAGCTCAAATGGGTTCTAACCATGAAAGCTTAAAAAAATTATTTGATACTAAACAAATTAAAATTAACAATATCTCAAAACTACCCTTCATGAGCCTAATATATGAAAACCTCAACTATGTCCCACATTATCTCCCTCCATTTTTCACTAGCCATGAGTGCTATCTTCACTCTCTCATGGCCAGTCTTCCCTCTCTTTCCCTCTCCTCCACCAACCCACTAAACCCAAAACTCAATTCTTTCTCCACCACCACCACCTCCACCTCTCAAAACACCACCTTCACTAAAAGACACTTGATTCTCAAAACTACTTCACTTTGTTTCATTTCTTTGGCCTCGCAACATCCACTTCCATATTCTTTAGCTGAGCCTTCACCACCTTCGAAAACTGCTTTTTCTGGCATTGCCAATACAAAGTCTTGGTTCCAGTTCTATGGTGATGGCTTTGCTATTAGAGTCCCTCCTCAGTTTGAAGATATCATGGAGCCTGAGGTACATTCTCTTGCTGAAAGTTTGTATTTTTATTTACCATGCATGATAAACTCCTGATCTTTACTAGAAACCCCCTGAATTTTGTGCATTCAGGGGTTTTTCTTTTTTCTCTTATTCTTGAAACCGTGGAGGTTTATTGCACTTATTAATTTGTTTAGCATTGTATGCATGTAATATTAGTTCATGTTATCCATTGTGACAACTGAAAGTATGCTTTGAAGCTCATCATTGTTTATTGAAATTGCTACAAAGAGTACGATAATCTAAGTAATGTTTCTCAATATTTTTAAAATTAGTTGTTTAACTAAGTTAATTACTCAATGTTTCTAGGATTTCAATGCTGGGTTGTCTCTTTACGGGGATAAGGCAAAGCCAAAGGCCTTTGCTGCACGTTTTGCATCCACTGATGGGTATTGAATTTGCTTTTGATCTATCTTTTATTTTTTGCTGTTTGACATCAAAATGATGTAAAATTCTTTGTTTTTGAAAACAAGAGATACAGATTTGTGAGTGTTTACTTGAGATATTTTCGTAAGGGTTTTCAGATGCAATCCTAAAAGTTAGAGCAAAATCGGAAAACTTCGTAATCTTTGCTTTGAAAACAGTTTTAAATATTATATTAAACACATTTTCAAATACTTAAATATTGAGATACAACTCAGATTTTTGAACTGTAACTTGGTTTTTGATGACTAAGTTTGCGGTGAATAAGAGGTACATTGGGCAAAAATTTATACCCTTTTTCAATATCCTTTGTTGGTTTTGGATTCTTTCCCTTTTTTGTTTCTTGAGATATCAAAAGATGAGTCATTTCTGTTGGGACAGGACTTTGTTATATTATAGTAGCTGAACATGATGCAACTAAATTTTGTTGCTATAATATTCAAGTGATATATTTGATTGTTATGGGTTGATCCAGATCTGAAGTCTTGAGTGTTGTGGTTCGCCCGTCCAATCAGCTCAAGATCACTTTCTTGGAGGTGTGTTTGACTGTCATGGCTATCTTCTTGTATGTTTTTTTGTGAATTTGTGATATTAACGCGTTTATTATTGTATATTGGTCTTTATTCTTACTAGAACTTTTATTAGTCTTCGGTAAGGATGAATATCTATTATGGATCATGTCAAGGTTGATTTAATTTTTTTTGGGCATCACAAGAATGAATTCCGGTTTAATCTCAGCATTGTAGACTAGTGTCTGTTATCAATTATATTGCCTTTCTTAGTTGGATTACTAATTTCTGCCAAAATGAAATTTTGTATTGATGTATAAATCTATTGGATTTAAGATTGTTCTTCGTGGTGGATTATGCTTTTTAAGCTTTGATGTTTTCCATTATATCTGATGAACCATCTTAGTCCTGTTTATATTCATCCATATTCTTCCATAAGAATTCCCTGAGGAACTAACATGTTCTTCTAACTCAAACAGGCCAAAGATATTACCGACTTTGGATCCTTGAAAGAGGCAGCAAAAATCTTTGTTCCAGGCATGTTTTGGTTTGATCCCCTTTTTTCTTGAAGCTAAATCTATGATTCTAGTATATCTTTGTAACTTTTCTCTCTGGTAATGTAGATGTTTTCTTGTAATTGGCTCTTTTTTCTGTTCTATCAGTTGTTACATGACACCAAATGGCCTCATTAATCTTATCTTGACTTGTTTCCCTTTCGTTATTTCTTTTACTCGTACTGATAGTAATGTACAATGTCAGGAGGTTCAACTATATACTCTGCCCGAACAATAAAGATAAAAGAAGAGGAAGGCTTCAAGTAAGTTTACCTTTCAACTGATGCCTTGCTTTTCATAAAATATCAGTAAATAATGTCGCCGTTGTGAATTTTTGCCTCTAGAGAAAAAAATAAAACATTTTCTTTTCTCTGTAAGATGAATAATTCAACAGAACAAGACAAGTACCTGCAATGCCGTCAAGCATACCGAAAATTGCATATATTTAGAAAAAAAATCTGGTGCTCTGTTTATAAGTACATATACAAAATGCTGCTTCACTTTTTAACTCAAGAGAATTTTAAATCATTTGATTGGTCCTATAGATACACGTTCTCACTGAAGCATTCTTTTTTGCGATACATAATACTAATGTATGCTATTCTTTGGTTTGGTTTATTTCAGGACTTATTACTTCTATGAATTTGGTAAGGATGAACAACACGTAGCATTAGTAGCTGCTGTTAATAGTGGAAAGGTCAGTTTAACATCTGCTAGTCTATGTTGATTTATAGATTACTACTTACTTTGCCACATGATGAACAAAAAATGCCTACGGTTGTGTGAAAAATTTTGCATAAGCAAATTATTTAGCAGGACTGATCAATTCAGAATATCCCTCCTTGAAATGCCCCGGCATAACCTGCCTGCTCAACTTGAGAACCCGAATATGCCACTAAGAATTATGATGTCAAAAATCATTCTTGTTTACAGTTTGATTTATTATGATTATTCTGACTAGTAAATCTGCCCTTCAACTTCATGTTGCAGACAATTATTGCTGGAGCAACTGCTCCAGAGTCCAAGTGGGATGATGATGGCGTGAAGCTACGTTCTGCTGCTATATCACTTACCCTTTTGTAGTCATCCAACGATTTTTTTCTTATCAGGTTTGTTCAAATCATATTTACATTGCTTAAATCTCATTTATTTATCAGAGACAAGGGAAACAATGGATAAGTGGACTGAATTCTCAGCATCTTTGTGAGATAACAATGGTAAAAGAAACATTAAGTTAAAAGCTACTATAATCAGTGTGAAATTTTGTTCTGACCTGCAACAAAGACAACTAAATCCTTCTTTGCATCATCTAAACAAACTAATTACTATTTTCTTTTTCCTGTTTGCAGATTGTGTTCACATTATCATGCTACTCAATTGTTTTGCCAATGCGGCACAACTTGCTCATTGGATTTCTCTAAGGCATCTTTCACATTTGCCACAACTATGAAAATTTATGGATGAGATTACCTACAATCATTCAGCTTAGCGAATGGTTAGTTTTTATCAACCTACCTTCTAATACCGGCTGCTAAGCAGCTTATAGCTTTATAGAGTTTGAACAGGACTTGAATGAGGCTGGTTGTAAGTGGGCATTCAGGCCCAAATGATTTTGAGAAGTTCCTTCAATTTTCAAACTTTTCGTTTGTTTTCAGCATTATTGGGTGATTGTCACTGAATTTTCTTCAGCAAGAGCTCATTACTAGTATTTTTACTGACTGATGTACTACAAGTACTGATTTAATTTTTTTTTGTAAAATTTTTTTTGACATAAAAAATGGACAGACATTCATGCAAACAGAAACCTCCAAAAATACAAAGCAAAAGATGCTAAAGCAAGAGCCAGTTCATTTGTTGTACTGGGAATATGACAACATGAGTCATTCCCATTGAGAGACATCAGCTTCTTTATATCAGCAGTCAGAGAATTTTCAATAGAAAAATGGATTTAAAGGTTGATAATCCCACTAGTAGCCATCAGAGAATCACTCTCAAGAGACTACCTCCAACCATACACAACCCTTCTCATTGCATGTAAATTAGCAACATCATTCCAAACACACCTGATATTCATCAAAAAGTTTTTCGTGTATCATACTGCAATACAACCAGCTAATGATCAAGCAAATGCCGTCCACTCTCATTGATAGGTTATATTGTAATATATGCATAAGAGCGTTTACTGGCATTTATTTATGGGTGCTTTAGGGTATCTATAAGGTGTAACTGGACAAAAAAAAAAAAAATTGTTATATGATATATGTTATTTACTAAAAGACAAGAAATTGCATTTCCTGATACATTGAATCAACTATAGTTTCACTTTCTCCTGCTCTTATCATGTGCCCTCTAAAGCTACATATCGATATTTCATTATTTCCCTTTATCTGGAAGCTAGTATTTCTTGATGACTTGTGTAGCAATCTGATCCACAAATGGTTATTTTTTGTATAGTTTGATGATAAGAAAATTCAAGGGCTGAGAAGGTGTTTATGTTGGAGATGGGAATGATGAAGACAGATTTGGGTTCTTCTGGCCCATGGCTGATTGGACTTGTCTGGGGACATGAGTGCTTTTCATGCATTGGGTTATTGTACAAGTCCTCAGTTGAGTTTTAGTTGGGGGATTTGGAAGGTTGGTGAATGACAATGAAATGGTCATGTGATAAGCTGTTGAGCCTTTCTACCATTGCTCATGGAATGAAAACCTACAACTCAAGGGCACTAGAATCCAAACCCCTTTTGTTGATTGAACTTGCTCGGAAATACACCGACCATACAAACAGATGTATATACAACCAATGAATCATACAGTATTACACCAACCATACAACAGATGTATATACAATCGATCAATCATAAAGTATTACGCACTTACGTCATGATTAGTTGGTCCATACTCTAAACCATCATATTCATTGAGAAATAAAAAACAAAGATGATGAGGTGTTAATGAGATTTGAGAATCTCATATTACCTTAAGAAAAAGTAATTAGACAATATTTCAATAATTTCCTTTCATTCATAACGAGTAATGTTATAAAGTCATAATCGTGTTAATGAGATTTGAGAGTCTCATATTACCTTAAGAAAAAGTAATTAGACAATATTTCAATAATTTCCTTTCATTAATAACGAGTAATGTTATAAAGTCATAATCGTGTCAATGAGATTTGAGAGTCTCATATTACATTAAGAAAAAGTTATTAGACAGTATTTCGATATTTTCCTTTCAGTCATAACAAGTAATTAATGTTATACCTATAAAGTCATGATCATACGTGATATAGTTTTATTGAATATATATGTATTGGGATAATACTATCTTGACACCGTCATTAGACGGAAAAACAAAATCTTTAAGCATTCAACCAAATCCAAGAGAAAACTGTGCTTGATACTTGTTGTGAGTTATCAATGTGCAATTTTTAGTGAGTTTGTTGAGTAAATGTCATTGGAGATGAAAAGGTGACCTCAATTAGGACAAAGGGACCCCAAATATGGCGTAATTGTATCCATGAAATGTGCAGTAAACAACTTTTTCCCACCCAATGTTTGCCTTAATCATACTTTCCCACTCAAAAAGTTTCAAAATAGTACTTTTTCACCTAAAGTTTACATTCTGTTACTACCCAAAGCTGATTCTGATGGCAAAAATTTTCTCTGTCACCACCATCTGAACCTTCGATCTATTCTCTACAAAACCACTTTCACTCCTATACTTGATTTCTCGTTGATTACTGGTCACCACAAAGTTAGAATTTTTTGTTCTTAATTGATTTTTGACTGATTCTGACAGCAAATATTCAATTGATCACCACCATTCGATCCACCGACCTCAACTCTATAAAACCCCTCGTACCTTTGCTCCTAGTAACTCACAGAACAACAGTTGAGAAAATGAAGTATATTTTGGGTATTAACGGAATATAAACTTTGAGTGGGAAAGTGATATTTTAAAACTTTTTGAGTGAGAACCTGTCATTAAGGCAAATCTTGGGTGGGAAAAAGTCGTTTACTCATGAAATGTGCCACAACTAAGCTCAAAGCTGGCAAGTCCAAATGCCCCCACATGATTCAAGATCTGCCTTTACTGTATTTTAATCTTAAGTTCACATTCATCTTTGCATGTCTTTTCGCTAAAATGGACACATCGTATTTTTAGTAGTTGGGTCCAAAGATCTAAATTAATAAATTTATAATAAAATATATTTTGAAATAATAAGAATGAAAAAAATTAATCTAAAAATTTAATTTTAAAATATTATCATACCAAATTATCAATTCTATGATTGTCCTCGATGATTGTTTATATTCTGAAAACCTTGTATAATCTAGGAACTTTATTTTCCAATTTCAAACTAATTTATTAAACTCAATAGAAACCAGACGTAGTATTCAAAATTAACTAAACCCAGCTCATTCAACATACAATTATATCAATTACATACATAAAATAATAAAAACAACTAGGACAACATAACTCATGATTTTTCTTCAATTAAGAAAGATAGAAGAAGAGATTTTAAAGCAAAATAACAAAAAATGAGCATCATTTTACCTTGTGACCTCCAAAAGAGTAATATTTCTTGATTAATCCAACCAAAGGAAGAAAAAAGTATGAGAGAAAAGGATAGGAAAAAGAAAAAATTTACCGGTATTTTCGAATCTCATGATCAATAAAATATGAAAATATCTTAATGGGGTCTATAAAATATGGATAATTTTGATAGGGTAAAAATCGTTAGTTACTATAAAATATACACCTATTTTTTATAGGTTTAGAACTTCAGTGGGGTCAAGTGACCCCACTGAGTCTACTTTAGCTACATCCCTGCCTAGTTAGTAAATACGGATACGGCAAAAAAAGATATGGAAATTTTACGGGTATGATACGGCAAATGGTGAAAAATACGTTTGTAAAAATTCGGCCATAAAATTCGGATACGGAAAAAATATGATACGGGTTTAATACGACATATTATCAATAATACGTTTTAAAAAATACGACAATATCAATCCTAGTTTTAGCAGTTTTCATAGGCCACTTGGTTAAAATCTATATAACATTTCAAATATACGGGTACGGCAAAAAAAGGGTACGGGAATTTTACGGGTATAATACAGAAAATGATGAAAAATACGTTTATAAAAATTCAGCAAAAATTCGGATACGCGAATACTACGGCTGAGGCATATAATTCGCGAATAATACAGCTGGGCTTATAAAATACGGCTGTTCGCAAATAATACGGCTGAGCTTATAAAATACGATTGTTCGCGAATAATACATAAATTATACAGGTGTTAGTAAATTCACGAATAGTTCGCGAATTTACTAACTAGGCATCCCTGCTCACTATCATTAAGACACTTACCTAACCAAACATTTCCATCTGTTAAGAATTTTATATGATAGATTTGTGTTAAAATTCAATTTATGATAACCTATGCCCTAAATTTATATTAAAACAACAAGTGCCTATAAAAAATTAGTTATGTCAATTTCAGATAAGAAGAGAAGTTTCAAGATTTTTAACTTAAAAGATTTTGATAGAAGAGATTCAGTAAAAGGTTAAGAGGTTTGATTAAATAAAAAAAACCTTTGCGGTAGTTGACGGCCACATCTGGCCGCAGATTTGGCTGGAAAATGCCATATTGATACGTTACAACACAGATCTGATCGGTTTGTGTCATAACGCATTTTGACCAGATTCCGACAGTGGTGGTCAGAATCTGGCAATGCGGGTGGTGGGGGTGTTTTTTTCATTTTACACAATTTTTATAATTGGGGTGTTTAATTAAATTAGCAAACCTAGGGAGGTTTTTTTAGAATTTTTAAATTTTACCTCGTAATACCCATATTCAACTACCCAATATTATTCCCAAAATCCTATCCAAAATAATAAACCAAATGCACATCGACAATTCCTCTATTTTTAATATTTCTCGTATTAGGTTTTCCACTACTACACTAATATTTACAATCCAACTTCAAGTCCATTTACTAATTGGACTTATCCACTCACCCACGAACACACAACACAATACGTCAGCGTAACCCGTTCAAAGTATATCACATCAAAACATAGAGCAACAAATACCCATAAACAATTAGTTATGTCAATTTCAATAGATGATAATAATAATAAAAATTATATATTGTAAGAAGAGAAGTTTAAGAGGAGATATTATAAAATATTAGAATATGGTAGGCATTGGTGGTCAACACACCTTTCTTATCAACTAGAATTTACCCTAAACTCTATAGATGAGACTCAGTTCTTTCGGATCAAACTACTAGTGGTCTACTTAACACCTTGAAATTTGTGCCAAATTTGAATAAATTAAGCTTACATGAAAGATTAGTTATACTATATTAGTAAAGGAAAATGTGAAATTGAAATTCTAAGCTATATAAAATATTAAATCATCAAAATATCAACAAACTTTTGGAATACACGGGCTATTTTAATCTGTGGGAAAACAACCACCCAATTGTGATAGAAAACAACTTATATTAAAGAGAGTATATCCTTTATAATTCATCATAAACAATTATAAAAATATTAATTAGATATTCTTCGGACAACTATTTAAAAGGATAACTTTACCGTTTTTTGGTTTAGAGAACCCACTCACGTTTTATGCTAATTTGGATACGATTTCCCTATCTAATCACATCGTCTCACTCTTTCGAATTAGTGGTTAATCACATCACACTCTCGTACCTTATCATTGTAGAGAATGACATTATTGAATTATTTCACATTTTTGCTGATTTGGGGGACCTGCCCTTTTGTTGGTGGGGGGCTCACATAACAGATGAGAACTTAGACCTTTGATACCGTCGATTTAGGGGACCTACAAAAGGAAATCATCTCATTGTTTTGTTGATTTAAGAAGCCACCTAAAGACGAGAACTTAGACCTCCTCGGACAACATTTGTCAAGGTTCGTTTGCAACTAAAAAAAGAAAAAAGAAAAAAAAAAGCTTGCGTATTCTATAAAAACACTAACTTATTAGGTGATATTGTTTACCTGCTCTTACAAACTCAAGATCCAACTTATATCTATTTGATGTGGAAATTGCAATAATAGCCAATCTTTCCTACATATGTTCTAAAATTATAATATTGAACATTTGTTCTTACTAGCGAAAGTTAACTCATACGTGCATATTTAACTTTCGTATATAAGATATCTTTTCGTTTATTGATAGAAGAAAGAAAAAGTTCGCACGCAAACCTGAGTTAAGTCTGGTTAACAAGAACTCGATTTAGTGAATAAGAATTCAGTTAGGTTTAAAGTTTGGATTTTAGGTTTGGAATTAAGGATTATCATAAGGTTACATATTAAATTTTGAATATGAATTTGATAGTTCAAATTATAAATGAAAACATTTTTTTTTTTTTTTTTTTTGTGTGTGTGTGTGTGTGTGTGGGAAAACAACCGCCTAAACAATTTATATTAAAGAGAGTATACGCTTTATATATAATTCATCAGAAAATAATTATAGAAACTATTTATTAGGATATTACTTCGGACAACTATCTAAAATGATAACTTGTCACCCTTTTGGTCGGTTTAGAGAACCCATCTCACCTTTTATACTAATTTGGAATACAATTTTCCTCTTTGATTGCATTATCGTATCGGTTAGTTAATCACATCACGCTCTTGCCCCTTTGGTCATTGTAGAGAATCTGCATAATTGAATCATTTCACATTTTTGTTGATTTGGGGGACCTACCGTTTTGTTTGTTTTGGAGAGTTCACATAACATGCGAGATCTTAGACCTTTGATACGATCGATTTAGGGGACTTACAAAATGGAATCATCTCTTCGTTTTGTTGATTTATAAAGCCATATAACGATGAGAACTTAAGACATATTGTCATAACCCCCAACATATATAAAACCTTCTTTTATCAATGAAAACCGATGCACACATTAAGAAAATTCTTTATTATTTTTTACTTTTTACCATGGTACTTGTATAAATTAAATTCATAATTTATGTATTTATTTATATATTTATTTATTTTGTTTTGTTTATAATGAGTATGTGATTGATGGGCCAAACACACACAGGACTCCTATGAACTTTTGTGGAGACCCGTGCTTGGTTGGCAGTGCCAATCATGGGATGCTTGCGTATTAGGCAATTAATTAATTATTAATTACGTCATTAATTGGTTAACTTTTGATTATAATCTTTTCTTAGGTTCAAATAAAATTATCATAATTAACATGATCAGATAAGGTAAACGATGATTTTATAAAATGTGAAGAGAAATAGAATGTGATTTTTATTACTTTTAAGAGTTAACGATTTTTTTCCACCCAAATAATAATTTAATGATATTTTCTCATTTAGAGACTTTTAAAATACTACTTTATTACCTAAATTTATATTTTAACAATAAACAAAGAGTAAACTAGATGTAAGCTGTTGGGGCTTTTAAAAAAGGGAAACCGATGAGTCTTTTTGGTGACAGAAGATTGGATTTTGACGGTTGAGATTGATTGAAATTTGACTTGGGAGAGGCGGTTGCATAAACCATAATCGCTCGATTGCCAGCAGTTGATATGGTTGATGGTAATAGAGTTTGAGGGGTTTTTATGAGTGATAATCAAGAAAGAGAATGATGGTGGTGTGGGGCCACAATAATGCCAGAATTGAAAACAGAATATAAATTTAGATAATAAAATGATATTTTAAAAGTTTGTAGGTGAGAACGTGTCATTAAACCATTATTTGAGTAGAAAAAATTCCGTTTACTCTTTTCTTAAACCATGGAAAGAGGAGGTTGGACTATATCAACTCAAATTCATATTTATATTTATTATTATAATCTATTTTTAATATGATATGTTCTTGCATGATGTTAAATGATAGAAAATGAGATGATAAACATAATAAGCCAGTTGACCAAAAATAAAAAATTATTGAAAAAAATTGGAACACTCGAGAATGTGTTTGAAGAATAATAGATCCCACGATTCATATAATTTCTTTAGAAATTATCAGAACTATTTAATTATAATTATAAAATTAGATTAATTTTATTAGAAGCCATTAGAAATGTCAAAACGAGATTAATTAAAGCCTAATTTAATTAAAAAAGATACCGTATTTGCAAAGCAAGATAGAGATATTATCAAAATCATCCGTCAACATACACGTGGAATAGAGTAGATGAAAAGAACCCTATGATTAAATCTAAGATCACCCATTTATATTTTAATTTTTTCTAGATTTAGATCTCAGGACACCCATATCCGATGGTTAGAATCTAATTATATTTATAATATAAATCACCAAAATATTTTACAAAATCGAGGATTTATGTTAAAAAAACATATTAAAATTTGGTAAATTTTTAGATTTTACAAATTAAAATGTTTTGAAAAGGGTTAAAAATGTTAAATTTCGTAAAATACTCCTGAGTGATCGAGTAATTGGATATAGAACCTTGGATGATTACTCAAAATGTTATAAGTTTAAGTCTTTTTTTCGGTTGTTAATAGGTAGTAATTATTAAAGCTCTTATCTGAATCGTAGTTTTAAGATCCTAAAAAATTAATTGACGTGTTTATAATGACCCGAACACACTCTGATGAAAATTAAGATTATGTCATCAATGCCTCTCCAAATTAAAAAAATAAGAATAAAAAGTGCTTCAAACAGTTTAAAAATTTCAAGCGCCAGCTAACGCCCGTATCAACTTCTAGACCCGGCAATTCTCTGTTACTCTACCCACTACAATTATCCAACTCCCAAATCAGATATTGACAACTGTTAATCTAATTTAATTTAATTAGATTTAAAATGTATGATAAACCTCTAAATCTTCCTTTTTTTATTTTTCCCTTTCCAAAATCTAAATAAGAGAAAATAAAAATAAAAAATACATTAGGTGTATATATTTGGTAATATTGATTGATCATTTTCGTTATGTATGGATGGAAAGATTAAAAATGATATTATAATATTATCAATTTAGTAATAATTATTAACTTGTAAATAAATTTTGAATTCCTTTGAACCAGAATTCTCACATGTTTTTGTACATGATAATTGATATAGCGAAAATTTTCTCATTTTTTTTTTTTGATTTATTAAACAATAAAAATTCACTAATCCGTTGTCGTATTAAAAGGAGAATTTATTGTCGAATTTTAAAAAATAATGATTATGGGTGTCTTCTTTCCCTTCACTCTCCTTGAGTTGTGTATAAATCACGTGGCATTATTATTAAGAATAATCTTGAACATCGACGTGGTTTCTTGTTGTGCTGCCACCTAGCCAGTTGTAGCACATCTTCGAAATTCGCACCGCACAGAATCAGAACTACATCAACTACCAGTCTTCCCTCCATCCGAACCTTAAACTGAAGAAACAAAATAACAAAGAGACTATCTACATAATCAGAAGCTTTCAACTCACCATTTGCTATAATCAGAAATCAAACTGAAAACCATCTCAGGTTTCTTCTTCTTCTCCTTAAAGATCAATTTTTTCTTTTCTTTTTCTCAATAAACTCCACATTGTGAATGCCATATAATTCAGCTTTACATCTTCCCCAAAAATGGCTTCCAATGAAACATTGCACCACCTTTCATCGGCCCTTCACGACTCTTCCTCCTATCTTAGCACCAGCACCATCATTGCATTGAGTGTGTTCTTTACTCTTCTTTGCCTCTGCATCATCATTGGCCACCTTCTTGAGGAGAACCGCTGGGCTAATGAGTCCATCACTGCACTTCTTCTGGTGGGTGTTAAACAAGTTTCCTTGATTGCTTTGATGGAAGAAGATGCTTAATTTTGGTCAATTTTAAGTTTTTTATTTTTTTTTTATTTTGCAGGGTTTGTGCGCCGGAGCAGTTGTGCTGCTGTTTAGTAAAGGGATTAGTTCGCGTATATTATCGTTTAATGAGGATTTATTCTTTCTTTATTTGCTGCCTCCAATCATTTTCAATGCTGGGTATGTTCTTCTTCTGAATTTAGCTTTGATTGGTTGCATAAAACTGAACAGGATTGGACCTTGTAGTGTTTTAATTTTTGTGGAAGGTTAAAGTTTTGTTGTCTATGTTAAGTTTTAAGAATAGGAACATTATTATTGATCTATGTAATCTTGATATATGTGACATGGGATCCAGTTTGATGTGTTTGACATATGGCTTCTAAGAAATTTTTGTCAGAGATATTTGTTTCATGAAGATTAGTATGGGCTGTGGTCGCTAATGTTAAGAATTTTGTTGCAGATTCCAGGTCAAGAAGAAGCAATTTTTCAAGAATTTTACAATTATATTGATGTTTGGAATTTTTGGTACAGTAATTTCATTCTGCCTCATATCAGTAGGTAAGATCCACTGATCTCAGATCAACTTCACTATTGGCTTTGTCGTGTGAAGCCTGATGTTTAAATCGGTGAATAGCTTATTTAAAAGTAGATTACCATCAATTTAGCTACTCCTGCATCTGATCAAAATTACCGGTTCTAACCACATTATTGTCTCCCTTGAAATTTTTCAGGAGTTGCTTTCCTATTTAAAAAGCTCGGCGTGACAGACCTTGATATTCAAGATTACCTTGGTGACCTATGATTGTTTCTTGGATTTATTTTGTATTTTGCACATGCTAGAATTCACTCATATGTGCTGATTACTTGAACTTCTTAAATGTGCAGCCCTTGGTGCCATCCTGTCAGCAACCGATTCAGTTTGTACATTACAGGTACATCTGATCAAAGTTCAAATAAATATTTAGTCCAAAAAGTAGTCTATAAAGATAATTGATGCATACCGTTAACGCAAGATCTTTTATCATCTTTAAGGTTCTCAGTCAAGATGAAACACCATTCCTGTATAGCGTTGTATTTGGGGAAGGAGTGGTAAATGATGCAACCTCTATTGTGATTTACAATGCAGTCCAATCACTTGACTTCAGTGACATTGATGGCACAATAGCGTTAAAGTTGTTGGGAACTTTTCTTTACCTTTTCTTCACCAGCCTTGCACTTGGTATAGTAGTAAGTCACTTCATGATTTTTCCAGTTAATCAATGGTTCATAAGTTAGCCTGACATTCAGTAATTAGTATCTTTGCTTTTGTGGTGTTGGCCTGATACACTGGAATTTTGCTAATGACTCTTAACAATTTACATGGCAATGTTCCAGGTGGGTCTTTTGAGTGCCTTCATCATAAAAACGCTTTACTTTGGAAGGTACAAGGAATATTCCTCTGCAGTTTTGTATTCCAGCTCTTGATTTTGCTCCTTTTTTATTATTATTATTATTTTTTTTTTTGGGGGAAATTGGTGAATTAGTCTCAAAGATGATGTTTAATCTGACCCATGTAAATTAAGCTCTATATGATATTACTTTGACATCATTGTTTCTTTCATCAACAGGCATTCTACAGATCGTGAAGTTGCACTCATGATGCTTATGGCTTATTTGTCCTACATGTTAGCCGAGGTACTTTCACAACAATATATAACCTTGGAAGTTATCAATGTTTAAGCTGATTGAAATGAAACCGAAATTAAAAGAGTGTCTAAAAGTTGACTGCCCAATGGCCATTTATGCATAATGATATTCATTCTTTCAAATTCAATAAACCATTGCATCGTAGTCTATTAGCACACGTCTCATCAAAATGCACCCATAGATTTTGATACCGCTTCTGGTTGACGTTCTATTCTTCCACTGGAGAGGATATAACGTTATCAGACTCATTCACTGCTATCATAAAGAGATTCCAGCAAATGCCCTCTTAACCAACATTCAGAAATGTGGTCTTGAAACAGAAATGAAATGTCTTTTGGTTACCGTATCTAAACTATGGCCTCATATGGAATGGCTGAAAGGAGGTGAACTTGATTATCATAACAAAAAAGAGTTGAAACGAGCTGATTCAGCAGAAACTGGTGTTAACATATACAAACAGCAAAATCATAGAGCTTTTCAGACTTGCATCGACTGTTTTTTCACTGAAGGGCAACCTTTTGCTAAAATGGAATGAACTGACTACTGTTAATGTATTTTGCAGCTGTTATCTTCTTTGGAGCTAATAGATCTAATTTTTCATGCAGCTTCTAAGTCTTAGTGGGATTTTGACGGTTTTCTTCTGTGGCATTGTAATGTCACACTACACATGGCACAATGTCACTGAAAGTTCACGGATAACAACCAAGTGAGAACATACTCTTTTTAGCTACCACTTTTATCTGTTTCCCTTTTTTTCCCTTGGATATTCCCAAAAAAAAAAAAAAAAAAAAAAATCAAATAATAATAATTCAAATAATAATTTCTGTAAAGGAATTTGAAGGGAAATGGAATGATCAACATGTCCAATTATTCTTTTAATTATCTGTGGACCATTTCATTGCTTTCTCNAATGAACTGACTACTGTTAATGTATTTTGCAGCTGTTATCTTCTTTGGAGCTAATAGATCTAATTTTTCATGCAGCTTCTAAGTCTTAGTGGGATTTTGACGGTTTTCTTCTGTGGCATTGTAATGTCACACTACACATGGCACAATGTCACTGAAAGTTCACGGATAACAACCAAGTGAGAACATACTCTTTTTAGCTACCACTTTTATCTGTTTCCCTTTTTTTCCCTTGGATATTCCCAAAAAAAAAAAAAAAAAAAAAAATCAAATAATAATAATTCAAATAATAATTTCTGTAAAGGAATTTGAAGGGAAATGGAATTATCAACATGTCCAATTATTCTTTTAATTATCTGTGGACCATTTCATTGCTTTTTCTAAATTTGTTTCAATATAGGCCTTAACTTCTAGCACATATGCAATATCTTCTTTTAGCTTTCTTTGTAACTAAGCTGTATTTATGGAAATGTTTATGTTGATAAATGAAGCATAGATTCTGAAACAAAAGGTTAAATCCCCATCATGGTTGTTGATTTCAGGCATTCATTTGCAACAATATCATTCATAGCGGAAACTTTTATATTCTTATATGTTGGTATGGATGCCTTGGACATTGACAAATGGAAGGCCAGCAATGCAAGGTAATCTTTACCCTTCTAATGGTTTCTCTAGTTTTAGCAGTTAATTGCCACTAAATATATAACTCTAGTAGAGTGAAATGACAAACTCCACTTAATTGTCAGAATCAAGTTGTTTGACAAAAATCTTGACCAGGACTATCTCATATAGATCATTTGGAGATTAAGTGGAATTTGATTCTGTCAATTAAGTGGAATTTGTCATTTCAGTCTACTAGAGTTGTAGATTACGACATTACTGTTATTGTATTTGCTTTATCCGTAGATGCCATTCTAACATGCTTCATATTCTTGATTCAGTGTGGGAACATCAGTTGCTGTTAGTGCGACATTGTTAGGATTAGTACTAATTGGAAGGGCGGCATTTGTCTTCCCTCTGGCAAATATCTTGAACTGTTTTACGAAACGATCAAGTGCAAAGATTGAGTTTCGACAACAGGTAATAACGGCAGGCATTCAAACACTTAGTTATTCTCCTCTACTTCTATTCCAGACATTTTCTAACTCATTGGAACTTCAGTTTATCATGTGGTGGGCAGGACTAATAAGAGGTGCAGTTACAATTGCTTTGTCTTACAGCGAGGTTGCTTTTAACTCCCTGGATGTAATTTAATTAAACATTCCGAGATATTTTGCTCCTGGACTAATATTAACTTGTGCATACAATCATGCAGTTTTCGAGCTCTGACACGGAGTCGTCAGCGCTAATGATCACTTGTACCATAATTGTTGTTCTATTTAGCACAGTGGTACGCTAGAAAATTCTATACTCCTCGTAATGATTTTGTTACACTAGAAACACCAGAATGATGCAATTTTATATTCTCACACAGGTATTTGGTTCCATAACAAAGCCTTTGATTGAAGCAGTGCTGCTGAGAAATGCAAAATCTGCAATTTCAGATGCAACTGATCTTCCTAGTCTAGAAGAATTAACATTACCGATCCTTGACAATGGCGATGATCCCGGAAACAACCCGCCGGTGCCCAGAAGTAGCTTCAGGTTACTGATAAGCAACCCCACCACAACTGTTCACTACTTCTGGAGAAAGTTTGATGACAAATTCATGAGACCAGTGTTTGGTGGAAGAGGGTTTGTTCCATTTGTACCAAGCTCCCCAACTGGTGCTGCTAATGAAACTTCTGAAGCCAGAAGCTCTAACACTTAGTTGATACAAAAAATTTTCTTTTAAATTTCTTGATGTTATTATTATTATTATTATTATTATTATTATTTTGTATTGAGTTCTTCTATTTTTCTTATAAATTTTGGTTAAGTAGAGGTGTTGTAATTATTAGAACAATATGGAAGTAAGTTTGTTTTTATTCTTTTGTCATGTATAAATTTTGCAGAGAAAATTCTTTAATTAATTATGTTTATATAATATTTTAAATACATNATTTTATATTCTCACACAGGTATTTGGTTCCATAACAAAGCCTTTGATTGAAGCAGTGCTGCTGAGAAATGCAAAATCTGCAATTTCAGATGCAACTGATCTTCCTAGTCTAGAAGAATTAACATTACCGATCCTTGACAATGGTGATGATCCCGGAAACAACCCGCCGGTGCCGAAAAGTAGCTTCAGGTTACTGATAAGCAACCCCACCACAACTGTTCACTACTTCTGGAGAAAGTTTGATGACAAATTCATGAGACCAGTGTTTGGTGGAAGAGGGTTTGTTCCATTTGTACCAAGCTCCCCAACTGGTGCTGCTAATGAAACTTCTGAAGCCAGAAGCTCTAACACTTAGTTGATACAAAAAATTTTCTTTTAAATTTCTTGATGTTATTATTATTATTATTATTATTATTATTATTTTGTATTGAGTTCTTCTATTTTTCTTATAAATTTTGGTTAAGTAGAGGTGTTGTAATTATTAGAACAATATGGAAGTAAGTTTGTTTTTATTCTTTTGTCATGTATAAATTTTGCAGAGAAAATTCTTTAATTAATTATGTTTATATAATATTTTAAATACATTCATTTATTTTAAAAGTATATTTTTTACTTAAAAACATCTACATAATTTAAAAAACTAACTATATAATCCATTTAAAATTAATAAATTTGTAGAGATAACAATTGTACTTGGATTTCTGGGTACTCGACTTGCATGAGTTGGGCATTATCTGCTGTTTGCAGTGATAGACATGGGCTTGGGTATGGTTTTAGGGCCCGTCCCAGGGTACGAGTCGGGCCCGAGACAACCATCGCCAGGCTCGACTCAAGTTTTTATCATTTAAAATTTTATTTTATTTGATTAGGATTTTGAAATGAATTTAGGATAACAATGAACTGCAATTTTAGACCCAAGATCCTTTGTCCACCATATTATATACACACAAAAAATGTGGTGATTAAAGCAACATATACTATTAATTAAGTTAACATGAATGACAAAGAAAAACATATCAAAAATTGCTCATGAGAAAATAAATTATAAAAATTAACGTATGTTGGGACTGAGAGTCATAAAAAGCTCGTCTTGGCCTGGGCATTACCCAACATCCCTGCAACAGGTTCAGACTGGGCCCAAGCCAGGGTCATGGGTTCAGGCTTGGGCCTGGGCCAAGAGATATTCGATTCAGCCCAGTCCATTGTCATCTCTATAAATTAGTGCATAATTATATATAGTTACAATTTAAAAAAAAAAAAATTTAGTTGAGAATTTGATTGATAAACTATTTAAATTGGATTAATCTTCTAAATTTATGAATTTATTTTCAGATTTATAAAATTATGATGGCAAATAATTATTTTTATTAAGTTTTAATTAGAGATCTACTTAAAAAAAGAGCACTGCATAGACCTTGATTGCAGCTGCATAGCACCAAATAATTCCTCCTTAAACCCTTCAACATCAACAACAAAAACCTTTCCCTTTCAAATGATCAAATTCAGATCATCAAATTAGGGTTTTGATTTTGTTTTATTGCTGATAAAAAGATGGCTTTTTTAAGAAGATTACAGACAGTCCGTACTCTATGTCGAACGTTTGAGCTTCAAGAATCTACATATCTGTAAGTCACCAACTTCATTTTGTTTTCAAGTTTTCCGTTTGGTTGGTGGGAAAATGCAGGAAAATTATGGGAAAAGTTTTTTGAGTTTAAAGTTTCTTACTTTATCGCCTAGAAAATGCTTTTGCCCCTGTAATTAGTTGGTCTATGACTTGAACTTTGATAATTTTTATATGTTCGTGTGACTTAATTCGTTTTCTTAATTGCTCTGTTTGCCTCCTGAGAAAATATTGGAGGATGAAAAGGAAATTTACCTTTTTGTTGACCTAGAAGGAATACCCATATAAGGCTTATGGTCTGAGATTGGATTATGTTCATATTGTGATTAGCATTTTTAGGCTTTCATTGGTTTTTAAGCATTGAATTTTCTGTTTAGAAATGTTAGAAAAATATTTGACTTAGCTATATGGTTCATGTTCGGAGTTTGAGATTCGAATCTATTCATATCTGGTTTCGGTGAATATGATTTCCTGATGTTTCATTTTGGTTCATGTGAAAATGTAGGACAAGATAGAAATATAAATGTCAAAATTTTGATAAGTGGACAGAAGGAAACTCCGTGTGTGCTAGGATTGGTCTTTTGTTTTATTTTTTACATTTTTTGTTCTGGAGTTCTTTTGATTTTGTATTCATATCTTCAGGCTTGGGAGCTCAAGAAGCTATTCAAGCAGTGTTTTCAATGGTAAGTTTTTAACTGTGATTTTTGTTCGTGAACACTCTTCATTCTTATTATCCTATTTTATGCATGTATTTTTGAATGATTGCGACATAAGTGTTTCCTCTCTTATATGATGTTCAATGTTTGCAGTTCCTGAACATTACCGCTGGAGCATTTCTTCTTACTTGTATAAGGACCAAAATGCTCTTCCTTGGACTCATGGAAGTACAATGACAATTCGTTCTACAATGGTAATTTTTGTAAAACAATTTTAATTGGGTGGGATCTATATGCCAATCTATGTTATTATCTCCACAGCTGGTTAATTTGTCAGTTTCTGTATTGCTCATATGTTATGTTTATTTAAATGGAATCTTGTTCTTTGTTTGTTTAAGGCTTCCAAATCATTGATCTTTTGGAATGACAAAAGGTTGGTAACAACAGCAACGAAAGCCCCTGCACAAGGACGGCAGATGGTATGTTATCTTTACCTTGTAAACTGGCCTACAATCATAACAAAATATGTCAATATTTTCGTTGCTGTCTGCTGAAGTTCATTTTGAGCCCTCAACTTTCTTTTGTCTCTTTTTCAAACATGCTCATATCTGTGACATATAGATGCTTCTAACACCTGCAGTGCACCAGATCATTAAAAATGCAAATTGAAATTTTTTTTAAGGATGTGTACATAAATGAGTACAAAGTTTGAACTAAAATTGAACATTTCAGATGCAGGTAGAACATTCTTGAAGTTTTATTGGTTTAGCTTTGCAAAATGTCGCTTATTCTGCATCTGCAGAGACTGATTCCAGTTGTGTTTGCTACTAAATTAGGGTTTTGCAGCTCGATTTGATAGGTTAGGCTTTTATGTGACAATATGCTTGTATTTAAGAGCATATTAAAATTTTCTTGTGATTTGTTGTTTTAGTACGCTGAAATTTGATCATATGCACATGCTTTCATGAGCAGGGTGCTCTTAAAGTGTCTATGTTGAGTCCTGGATTCATATATGAACCTTACGCACCTCGTGAAGCAATGCCATTTTGGCGGAGGTTAGTTAGTCTTTAACATAGTTTTAGTTTTCTATTCTAAGCTTATGGCTTGTACCAACAATCATTTCACTAAATTTTGGTAGCTAAAGTAAGCCTTAAATTACTCAGTAGCAATTCTAGATAGTTTCAATCAGGTCACCTAATTTCATTTTTGTTACCATTGATAGTCTTTGAATTTGAACATTCAAAGATACATTTTTTGTATACAAAAACAGGAAAGATGCTTGTCAATGTCGATACTTTTGTTTGTTTGAAGTGCATTTAGTCCAATTACTTAATCTTTAGATCATGGAATGGCAAGTAGCTAAGCTTTACAACTTAAAAAATGCATGCTTTTAAGGATTTGCTATGTTTGGGCTGTGGACTTTAGTCCTATCTTCTTTCCGTGACCGCTTCTAATGTACTTGCTAACGAAAGGGAAGTTAGAGCTTTTGTCATAATATCTGGTGAAACAGGTTTTTTGAGGCTGAAGTAGTCAAACTCCAACATCCTAATTTTTCAATGGAAAATGTCTCTTAGAAAATATGATGCTCAATTTTTCATTGACTTACATGGAACACTATAAACTGGTGTCATTCTTCACTATTATTTTTAAGCTATTCTGGAGCGCATATTTTATGCTTGTATCCTTCTGCACTGACTATTGGTTGTATATCAGATGGTTTACGAGAAATGGATGGAGAAGAACAAAGGAGGATATGATTTTAGAGGTGACGTCTTTGCGTGCTGACTGTAATTTGCTATGAGAATCATTCTGCTTGGTTTTAATTTTCTTTACTCCACGTGTACACTATGATTTTTGTGTGATACCAAATTCCAATTTCATTGTTGCCCCCTTCTGTCTCTTTTTATTTTCATTCCTTATTTGCTTTTCGATAAGAGCTAGATTTGGATCTTCATGACTGGCAAAGAGAAAGAAACTGAACCTTGATCCCATCTGTCCTCTTACGATCCAATAGGTGGTCATTGGGCATCAGCGATTTTGGTTTGGCACCATGCCCTATTAGTAATTTTACTTGATTTGGGATTTATACTGACCTTCACTTATAAAGAATGCATGTGTGACTTTTTTCACATAAAACCTCAACTTAGTGATGACCATCATTTCATTGTCACAAAAGTTAGTCACATATTCAATTTGTTGCTTGCAGCTGAAAAGTGCCTATGCCATTGCCAAGTTGAGGAAAACTGGATATTCAAAACAGAAGTTCTACAAAGAGGCTGTAGAAATGTATAAGGAGGTATACTCATGTAATATTCTTAAAAGTAATTTGACTGTTATAATTTCTACTATGTATCTTTGATGTGCAATTTGCCACTCTATATTTATTTGTTTGTAAGGGATGCACTGGGTAGAATTCGAAGTTGAAAAATTAGGACTGTCTTTTTTATGAACCAAAATCTTGATGCAAATTTTGATTTATATAATTAGAAAAGCTGGACTTAGGAAGTCCTAGAGGCAATAAACTGATAATATTTTATTGATTAAAATTAATCTTGTTGGTGAGGGTTCTACATGAAGGAAGAAAGACAAGACATTTATCCTCTCTTCAGATGATGCAATTATGGAAGCTTTTTTTAATTTTTTTAATCTTTGTTAATTTTATGGTTATTTAATGTGATATTGCTTTTGAAATTAGATTGAATTTTCTTTGTGCTCATTGCTATATGTTTTCCTTTTTCTCAGATTAACACTTTGATGGCAAGCGGTGACAAAACTTCAATAAGGAAAGCAGTTACTGAGAATATGTACTCTGTATGATTCTATCAGCTTCAGTTATTGTACTCGGTGCATTCAGCTTCTTATCAAATTGTGCATAATCTATTGTTTAACTTTGGTCTTTTTTTGCTCTCTTACCCACAGGCGCTCAAGAATGAAATTAAACAAAGAGAATCCATGTGGAGTAAGGTGTACTGGGAATTGGTTGAACCAATTGTTAAGATACGAACGCTGCGTGCTCGGCTGGCAAGTATCCTTCTGTTTGAGTGAATTCAGAATAATTAGTACTTTATATGAAGTAAATATGAATGTTTGCCAAAAGAAAGCTGCCCAACTTCTTATTACATGGGCTTGATACACAGAGTACTATAGTGTGATAGAAATTGGGATGAAAAGGAGGCGACTCTTTGAATTCTGAAAATACAGTGTCTCTTTACATGGAACTAATTGATAACTTTCTTTTCTTCTAAATGTACAGATTGGTGTTGACCAAAAGGACCTCAACAAAGTATTCATACAGCTTACTCTAGAGTTTCTAGCTAAGCAGGTAAACTGTCTGTTGTAATTTATATGCTTCTTTATTTAGTTGTATCTTAAATGTTTATTTACTTTTTTCTGCAATCCATGTGCACAACTTGGGGTAGCCCAATCCAAATCAGACATTTCTCGTCAGCCTAAAATTATTTATCCAATCATCTATCACTTGTATTGGTTAATTTCTTTTGTTTTTCTCATTTTTTTTTTGGTTTGGGGGGCTGGGGGTGGTTCTTTCACATACACCTGATTTTTGGTTACATATGACCATAAATAGTTCTTATGCTTTTACCCGATACTTTCACTTATTGAGAGACTTGACAAATTATGCTCTTACATGCTGCAGAAATTTGAGGCATAAGATTCAAAAGGTGCTGTTGTTGCTGGAGATAAAACTAAGGAGGTAGGACTTATGGTATAATTAATTTTTGGGTGATGCAAAAGTTTCTAAAGAGTCCTGTGTATAACACTTTGACCCACCACATGTATACCTCTGGCCTCTTACCGAGGATGACTACTTCTGAAATTTACAAAAAATGCTCCATTTTTACGTATCACTCGTTTTTTTGGCATATCTTAACCTGTTAGGGGAAACATTGATGGAACATTTACATGTTTCTCAGGTTCTTGTCCGTGACATCTGGGTATTTGAAAAATCTCTCTTTCATCCTGGAGCTTATTGGCGTCTTTGTGGGCGGATTAAGGTTTAACCTCGCTATGTTTGACTAACCATAGTTCTGCATGCCAGATGACTAGCACAATGATATATTTTATTACCCAATTTTGTAGACTGAAAATTTTGTAATTTATTTAATCTCTATGATAGTTATACATTTTCCTTGTTTTGTGAATTCAGTTTGAGACCTGAATTCAGAGTAATAAATTCAATTTTTTTTATCCCCCGATTTACTAGTCTTCCTCTGGTACGCCCCACTGCTAGTTTTGCTGTGGTGTTCTTCTACCCTTGTGTACTACTGATGATCGGAAGTTCTTATTATAACTTTCAGATGATCTAATCAAAGTTTACAATGATTCTTGGAAGGACTCCGGTGTAATTATACAAACAATAGATTTAGTATGCAAAATTATTTATGTATTCCTAAAGATAAGATTTAAAAAGTTGTAATTCGAGATTCATGGATAATCTTAGTCACTGTTTGTACCTGACAATCTCTACAAAAAGGGTTGATCTTTGGTTTGTAACAACCCTTAAGAAATCTAGAGATTTAAAAGAGCTCTTTAGCTCTGCTAAACCCTGTCTATTTTTAGATTTGTTTATAACTCAAACTGCCCTTTGTTTTGCTTGGTATAGTTTATTGGTTTTGTTAATGCTTGTTAGTTGGCTTGGTTGTTCAGTGGTGAGATTGAACACAAGTACTGTATAGTGGTGGTGTTTTTCTACAAGCCTGTCACAAATGCCTCTTTTGTCTAGGGCTGGAAATCATTTTGGATTGGTTCTGTCATCTGTGTAGTATTGAAATTTCGCAATTTGCCGGAACTAAACCCACATGTTTCATTCAGTTTTCCCAGCTCAGAGGCTGCTAAAAATTCCATTTCAGGACTAATTGGCTTCAAGGTGGTCCTGAAGCTGTGCTCCATGCAAGCCTGAGTGTTATGCACTTAGTTGCATTTTTGGAGAGGTACATTGGAGTAATTCCTTGGAAAGGTTAAATTCATTCTCATTCGAGAACAAAACTGAGTCATTGTGTCAAGAAATAAAATTNCTGTCTATTTTTAGATTTGTTTATAACTCAAACTGCCCTTTGTTTTGCTTGGTATAGTTTATTGGTTTTGTTAATGCTTGTTAGTTGGCTTGGTTGTTCAGTGGTGAGATTGAACACAAGTACTGTATAGTGGTGGTGTTTTTCTACAAGCCTGTCACAAATGCCTCTTTTGTCTAGGGCTGGAAATCATTTTGGATTGGTTCTGTCATCTGTGTTGTATTGAAATTTCGCAATTTGCCGGAACTAAACCCACATGTTTCATTCAGTTTTCCCAGCTCAGAGGCTGCTAAAAATTCCATTTCAGGACTAATTGGCTTGAATATGATTAGTGATTCGGCCACGGTGGCCCTGAAGCTGTGCTCCATACAAGCCTGAGTGTTATGCACTTAGTTGCATTTTTGGAGAGGTACATTGGAGTAATTCCTTGGAAAGGTTAAAGTCATTCTCATTCAAGAACAAAACTGTGTCATTGTGTCAAGAAATAAAATTTCTGGTTATGATTATATTTTAGAAGTTGTAATCTCTGATTCTCTGGGAAATTTGGTCCAAAACCTGTTACCCTTCTAGTTTTCTTTCAGGTATTGTTGTTGCTTGAAGCAGAAGCTGGTTTGACAGAAAAGTTTTACACTTTTCCCTCATCAGAAGAAAAGAAAAGAACATAATTTTTCTCAACAGTTTATTCTTTCTTGCCATCAATTTCCAAGAAAAGGATCATCTGAAACTTCATCACTGCACCATCCATTGATTACCGCATCATCTCAATTCTTATTTACATATGAAAAACTATAAGCCATCTAAACATGGATCACAAAGAACAGAAACATGAATTCCACCAACCTATTGGCCTTTGCTATAAGCTCTACAACTTCATGAAATTCTTACCAACACATCTCCTGAAGCTGCTGACTTCCAGCTGGATTACGCCTCCCTGTGGAGCTGATGCTTCTGGATTGAATGCTACAAGGACTGATGCCAGCTCTAAGCCTAATAATGCCCAAGTTGTGCCGTCCATAGCTCAAGAAAACCCTCCACGAGAAGGTGAAGATATGGAATCCAAAACCTACACTGATGTCCCCATAACCACTTCCAGCACTGAAGAAGATGCTCTTCAAGTACTTGAAGACACTGATATTGATGCCAAGATTCAAGTTCAACCAGAGGAAGCACCACCCGATAAAGCTCCAAAGAAAATGGTTAGCATAAATGAGAACGTAGAGACAATAAAAACAAGCAAGAAGAGAAACAAAAAGCAGAAGCGGCAGGAAGCAGAAGCAGAACAGCAAATGCCTTTGAAATCAATTTTAAAGGTGCCTTCTGATGCTAGTAATTCTCAAGAACCACAAAGGCTTCTTAGTCGTGCCAATGGTGCATGAACTACAAAGTATTGTTTTTATACATATATAGTCAACACCGTCTTCCTTTTTATCGATGTAAATAATGGATATTAATTTGTTCAACGATTAGATCTCTTGAAATTATATAATAAATTTTGAGATCGAATCTATTCGTACAAGGTTTAGGGGTGTTTGATCAATATTTGCAAGTAAAAACATAAAAATAAAAAATTATAAATTATAAATTATAAATTATAAATTGTTTATGCTGGTGGTTGTTTGCAAAGCTGTGACAATGAAGTGGTTAATGATTTATTTATTCTTAAATATATGGGACGCTATATTCATTCAACAATAATATTATCTGTTGAAAAAGGTATTGAAATCCATGTAAGGAAAATTTTTACTAGATGCATAACATAAGAAAATCTTAAGATAAATTGTTAAAAAAAATCTTAGAAAAAAAAAGAAATTAACCATTTTTCCATCAGATAGAGCCATACAGGCATAGAGCTTTTGCAAGAGGGTCAAACCTGAGTCACAATTGGAAGGTACAGCCACAATCCCACCAGCCCAACTGATAGAGACCATCAATGAATTGAATAATAATAATAATGACAAAATCATCATCACACAAAACAAGTAGAAATTCACAAATTCTAAATTTCTAATAAAAAATCTATTTTGTTGCCTAGATCCAGGTTAGTAAATTCGCGAATTGTTCACCCATATAATCCACGTATTATTCGTAAACAGTCGTATTTTATAAGTTCACTCGTATTATTCACGAATTATATGCATCAGCCATATTATTCGCGAATTATTCTCATATCTGAATTTTTATCGAATTTTTATAAACGTATTTTTTACTATTTTCTGTATCATACTCGTAAAATTTCTATACCCTTTTTTTATCGTACCCATATATTTGAAATGTTATATAGATTTTAACCAAATGGTTTATGAAAAGTACTAAAACTAGGATTGATATTACCGTATTTTTTAAAACGTATTATTGATAATGTGTCATATTAAATCCGTATTATATTTTTTTCGCATCCAAATCTTATGGTTGAATTTTTACAAACGTATTTTTTATTATTTGCTATATTATATTTGTAAAATTTTTGTATCTGTATTTACTAACTAGACTAGCATAGACTGCTAAGTATTGAGTAATATTACGTTTACATCACTCTTTTACATTATATTGTAATGTGACATATGTCATAGTCATATATAAATTTTTAACTTTTAATATTATAATAAAATTTATATGATTATAATATATGTCACATTGTGAATGGTGTAAAAGAGAATTGTAAAGTTATCATTCCTCTTAATTATTTTATAAGACCTCTTTTGTGGCACCAAGGGTGGTCCAAATGGGTGCTGGTTATTCTTCTCTTTGCCTTTCCACCTCCACTCATCATCACTCTTTTCCTCTCACTGCCTTTCATTGTAAAAAAAAATCAAAATCAAATTTTCCTTTCAATCCCATCTGTAAAGATCGAAGCTTTAACAACCCTTTGCAAAGAATTGCATATTTTCCTCAGCCAATCCGGTTCTCTGGTTGTGATTTACCTTCAAAAGTTGGGACTTTGAAGTGTGGGAAAGTGAGAAAGATGGAGAGTCAAGAGGGAGTTGCAGCAATTACGAATCCCACGAGGGATTTGGAGACTGTTGATGAAGATTTGGTTCAACAGATGGTTTATGATGCTCTTGTTTGGAGCTCTCTTCATGGCCTTGTTGTCGGTGACAAGAATGTTCAAGTAAGTTATGAATATTCGTCTTATTTGAATTGTGTTTCATGAGTATATGTATGATCATCCGATAGCTGAGAAATATTGATGGGAAAACCTTGTGTTTGTTTGCTGAGAAAAAGTTGGAAAAGCCAAGTAATAGAGAAGTCAAGATCTTGAGTTTTCTTCAATCAAACAGTGCAAATATGCTTTTGTCTTTAAGTGAATATGCTTTTTGGTGTCATATTTTCACTCTCATTGTTGTATTGGTTGATACCCATTTGCTGATATTGGAATAATTCATTTCTTCAAGCGTAAATACTTTTTTTTTTTCTCTTCTAATAGCTGAGTTAATGATTAGGCATGTGTGTTGTCAGTTAAGGTGGAGAGAAAGATTCAAAGATGGAAATTGAGATGAAAATTGTACTCTAAATGATAAGGATGCAGTGTAGAGTCGTGAAATGTAATTTTAGAATTTGAACTTGATTTTTTGGGGTGTTTCATATTACAGAGGTCAGGGAGAACTCCTGGTGTGGGAATGGTGCATGCCCCGTTTGCTTTGTTGCCTTTGTCATTCCCTGAAAGTTACTACAGTCAAGCATGTGAGTTAGCACCCATTTTTAATGAACTCGTTGATCGTGTGAGTTTGGACGGAAATTTTCTACAAGATTCACTGACCAGGTACTCTATCTTTCTTTTGTAATCTTCAAATTTGATATATGTAAATGGAAGCAGCTTAGGATAAATTGTTAGACGAATTTTAGATAACTCTTTGGCTTACTACTTCCTGTATCTATCGCTTTTCTTTACTATTATTTGTTAATCATAGGTTGAGTTCTTTCTTATTGTTGTAGCACCTTCACAAGCAGAAACATATTATTTTTGTTTTTCATCCAGTGATGGTCTTGAATGCCCATGCATTGTTAGCATCATACCGTTATTCCTCTGAACTTCTTCTGTGCTGGTGCTGCTGCCACCTGCTCACAACCATAAGTTGCATATAGGGATAGCTAAACTATGCCCTTGGATCTGCAGTTTCTCAGGCAAACTTCAGAATTTTCTGTGCCTTCACTATAGACTATACTGGATACCATAGCATTTGCGTCTTCTAAGCTTAATTTTTATCCTCAAAATTGGTCTCTGGCTTCTGTTTATCTACCTACCATGGTCTCTTCTGGTCCTGGCCTTTGCTTTGGCTGGATATCAAGATTTTTTACAATGATGTAAGAGACTAAAAATATATTTGAACTGAAATTATATGTGTTTTCATTGTAGAACAAAGAAAGTGGATGCTTTTACATCTAGACTCTTAGATATTCATTCCAAAATGCTAGAAATCAACAAGAAAGAGGTACGTATGCATCCATAGAGAATGTGGCCTTACACTGTTTTGAGAGGATTCATCATAACTTTCAGCTTTTTAAATGAACTAGCAGTGTTTTATAATCTTGAGATGACTCTTATTCATTTCATTTGCTGCATTTTGTCTCAGTAACTCAGTTGTATGAAGGGAAAATGGCTAACTTTTTGGTATGCAATAATGGAAAGATAATATTAGTGTTCAATATCCCGTGCAGGACATACGCTTGGGTTTGCATCGCTCAGATTATATGTTGGATGAACATACTAAATTGCTCCTCCAGATAGAGCTAAACACAATTTCATGCTCATTTCCTGGCCTCGGTACTATTGTCAGCGAGCTTCACAGGTCAAGCAATTTAGGCTTTCTTCCTACTTATAACTTGTGTTGCTGGAAGCCTGGAACTGTCACTTGGAAACTTCTGAAGGAAATGCTAAAACATTATGATTTTAATACTATTTTTAGAATTTATTTCATTAAACAATGATGTTCTGTTCACTATGGAAAAACTGGTTGCAAGGTAATGTTTGTCATTTGCTAAAGAGAGCATCAGCCTAAAGAAAGACCTAATTATATAGGAGTAATACTACACATGCAACATTTTTATACAATATTTCTCATACAACATTATGGGGCAAAATATGATTAACTGATTTTAAATTAAAACTAAACTTTTATCCAATCATCTTTTGCCATATAATGTTGTATAAAAATGTTTTATGTGTAGTATTATTAATTATGTAGAGATATGTGTATGTGTGCATGTGTAAACAGCATTACAATCATCTTTGGCAAGGTGGGGATTGCCAACTAACTATTGCCACTTGTTAATTCCCCTGAGACTGTAAATCCAGTTCTATGTGTGGGAGAAACAATCATGAACTCAGTATTTTTCATTTTCAAAGCATTATTTAGGACCTGACTTGTGTAGGTTTAAAATTTCCTTTCTTCCTCTCTTTGTCTTTTGGTGTAGCTATTGTCTGCTCGAGACTTCTAATAAACGGCTTGTGCGCATTTGCTTTACTATTGATCTTATTTTCTGTTAAAGGAAAAAAAAGAAAAAAGAAAATAAGAACTCCAAATAATCACTCGCTTCGGATCCAGTGTTTACAAAAAGTGAGCAACAATTTTTCAAGAAATTTTCTTGACCTCATCTGATCATATTGCAGGAGCTTACTCATTCACTATGGAGAACAACTTGGATTAGATTCCAAAAAGATCCCTGGCAATTCTTCAGTCAGTCGGTTTGCAGAAGCAATGGCTAAAGCTTGGACCGAGTATAATAATCCCAGGTTAGATTTGTCTCTAATATTTTTGGTTCTTTTCTGCCGCTGCATTTGCAGAGGTCAATTAAGCTTTTAGTTACCTGGAATATTTTTGTGTAGGGCTGTAGTTATGGTCGTGGCTCAGTCTGAAGAACGTAACATGTACGACCAACACTGGCTTTGTTCGGTATTGAAGGAAAAATATCCTTTATTTTTATAAGAGGCATGTCTGGGGAAATTCTCAGCAGGATAAGAAAAAAGGGTTGATATGTGAAAGACTTTAGCAAAAGGATTTATCTTTTCAGATTATGATATCCTAATACTATTATTAATTCAGAAAGCTCTTTATAAAGTACATATACAGCTGTCCTCCTTAGCTTAATAACACACACAATGTTACAACTATTCGGAAAACATTGGCCGAAATCGATATGCAAGGGGAACTACTTCCTGATGGAACACTTCTTGTGTATGTAACCTTCTGGCATTACTTTTAAATTTTCTATCCAGATTCACCATGTTGTGTTTCGGACTGTGATGTCAAAGCTTTGTAATTGCAGTGGTGGCCAAGCAGTTTCAGTTGTCTATTTTAGAGCTGGGTATGCGCCAAGTGATTATCCTTCAGAATCAGTAAGCAATTATGCTATTTTCCTTCTGCTTGCAGCAACGATCATCTTTGAGAGGAATTTATTTGTTATTCTTTTGAATTCTTTCCTGGTTCAAGATTTAAGATGCTGACAGCAAAATGTGTCTCATGACACATTCATCTACCATCTGAATCTTGGGAGTGAATCTAGTTGGCTAGTGTAGTACATGCTTATTTGCATGCTGTAAAAATGGTTGGTTGATATTGCATGACAAGTGGTGACAGGATGTTTTTTTAAATCAGTGATTTGGATAAATCTAACATAATGTGCTACTATTGGCTCATGTGGGATTATGAGCGATTAACCTATCTACGTTGTATGGCAGGCAGGGTATATCCTGCCAAACTTTGTGTAATGGAATTTCAACTTTTGAGCTAGACTAAATGGGTATACATTTAAGTACTATTGAATTCATTGTGAATGACTTTAAAGTTCTAATTCTCTTCACCTTTTTTCTTGTTATTTCCTGTTTCGCTCCTTACAATTTCACTGTGCTATGTTTCACTTTTCTTATGATACTTGAATGCCAAAAACAGGACTTGACTTTACATTGTGATGTATAGTGTTTGACTATGAGCATGTTTACTATTCATAGGAATGGAGAGCTAGGCTACTTATGGAGCAGTCTTCTGCGATCAAGTGTCCGTCAATCTCTTATCATTTAGCAGGCACCAAGAAGATTCAACAAGAACTTGCAAAACCCAATGTACTTGAGAGGTAAATAATTTCAGCCCAAGTGATTATTTTCGATGCTCAAGCTGATTCCTGAAATTTGTACTTTTTATGTTGAAATTAACTTCTAAATTATGAATACTAATGGCGTTAAAGAAATGCTTATACTGGTTTACTGCAAATATGGTTTTTAAGTTCAAAAGGATGCTGTAGCCACTTACAAGGAATAGTGGTCGGAATATGATGTCCTTGGCTTGTAAATTTAATAATTACTTTTTGTACAATCACTAGTACATTTTAAATTCTAATTCATGGTGAAGCTTCTGTTTTTGGTGATTCATACTAATATTGAATTGCTAGAATATGGAAATCATGAAATAGATTTTGCTTAGTATGTGTAGTTACAGCTTGATATAGGTTATGTTTTCACAAATTTCTCCTCAGTGTCCTAAGTAAATTTATGAGCAGTTCATTAAGCTTTACATTTTTGTACAATATAACAGCTTTCTCAGGTTTTATTGGTTTTAATAGAGCTTTTTTTCATTTTGCTTGTGTGCAGATTTCTTGATAACAAAGAGGATATTGCCAAAGTACGTAAATGTTTTGCAGGTTTGTGGAGTTTGGATGACTCGGAGATAGTCGGCAAAGCAATTGAAAGACCTGAGCTATATGTCATGAAGCCACAAAGAGAAGGCGGAGGTCCTATATTTCTGATCTTCACTCTGCCACTCTTTTTGTTGTTTACAATTATATACATTATCCACTGGTGGGAACAGTGTTTTTGAACTAGGTTTCGCTATTTCATTTCAGGGAACAATATATATGGTGAAGATGTGAGGGAAACCCTTTTAAGGTTGAAAAAGGAAGGGAGCGAAGAAGATGCTGCTTACATTCTTATGCAAAGGATATTCCCAAGTGAATCCCTTGCATATTTGATGCGTGATGGCGTTTGTCATAAAGATCAGGCTATATCAGAACTTGGCATATATGGTGCTTACTTAAGGTACATAAGTTCTGTTGCTCAGTAAAGTTGCATTGCAAATTGTGTTTTGATTTGACCATGAAGTGTCCTACTGAAAGGTCCAATAGATCACAACTTCAGCATTATTCATCTTGAGATGCACTTACATTCTCAATTTGAAATGTGCAGGAGCAAGGACAAGGTGATCATGAATGAACAATGTGGTTATTTGATGCGGACAAAGATTTCTTCCTCAAATGAAGGCGGGGTTGCGGCTGGATTTGCCGTCTTGGACAGTATATATTTAACTTGATTATTTTAACTTGTTAGCTACTTCAATTGATTGTATAATTTAAATCCACATGATTCTGGTTCTATACAAGAAATCATGTCAAAGTAGATTCATTTTCCGCAATTTAGTATTTCCTTCAAATTTGTGAAGGAAAGGATTTGACATGGAGGACATGGTGTTTCCCTTTTTTTCTTGAGCAATAAAATTTTGATGTGGGTTCTGTACTGCCAAGCCACTGCCTTACAATGTTGCCTGACCAAAGATATGGCTTTTAGAGCAGAAACAGAATTGAAGACTAGTATGACAGAATATATAAATATATAAGTGGAGCTTTGGTTGTTTCCAAAGATTACAGCCAAATTTTGACACTGAATTGTCTCTTGAAAGAAAAATTAGCCTATTAAGTATAAAGTTGAATTAGGCAAGGAGAATAAACAAAGGTCAATCAGGACAAACCAAAAGACAGCGGTTGGCGGCAGAGGTGTAATCTTATTTCCTTCAGTTATCAGCCTTACGTTATTTTCGTAAGTCATCAGTCTTGCCCTTGCCCCCGGTTGGAGGTAACTTGGACAACCTTATTTCCTTAAGCAATCATCCATTTATCTATGGTTCTCTGGTTTTGCCCTGATAGGATGTGTTTTTTACCTAGTTAACAACATCTTTATTATAGTTTGATAAAGACTCTTAAGTGTATTATTCAAAATGTCTCGAGTTTAAGTCTCTCGTCGTTTGCTAAAAATAGTAACTACTGGAGTTTTTACTTAACCGATAATTTTAAGGTTTCGAGAGATTAATTGAAGTGTTCATAAGTTGGTTTGGATACTCCTAGTCAAAAAAAAAAAAAAAAAAAAGAACCTTTGTAATATTATACATGAGAGCATATAAGATTTTACTATCAAATATTTGCAAGAAAAGTATAAGATCATTTGGACAAAAGAATGGTGTGAACATGTTCATATTGGATAAATGAAAAAAATGTAACAAATAGTTATACAAGCTACTTTGCTACCCAGAAGGCCTAATATCTCTCAAAAAACAATGCCATATCATTTACATGTCAATGTTAGCATAAAATGACAAATAATTAGAGACTAAAAAGTTGTGATAATGTTTTGTATTTTTCAAAGAATGATAAAACAACAAATAATAATCTGTTTTGTTCATGTATAAACTCTGCCATCTTGTATCCATCCAAGTTGTCGAGCTCGTTTTTCCCATAAATCTGAAAGCTTGCGTTCCTCTGTAAGAAATCTCTCAGCTCTCTCCCTTGCTCCTTCACATGTTTCCATTCTTGCATTGCATCTCTCTGCTTCTCTTTGGAACTGGGAAGATGTTCTCATTGCAACCTTCATCAATGTTCTGGTGTGCTCTACGGTTTCATTGGCTACAATTTCGAGCAAATGAAGCTCCTCTGCCAGCAGGTCTGCATTGTCCTTCTCCATTTCTTCCTTCAATTCTGGATCATGCTTACCACAGTCTGCATGTACATTCACAGAAAGAGATAAATTTTGACAATTTGCTGGCAGTAAAGCCCTTGAAAGTTTATCTAAATCTATTAAGTAATCATTTGACTCAAAAACTTAAATTGACAGATAAAAATTGGATAGTAAAATTTAATCGGAACAGAAAGGGACAAATCGGTTAACCAACCTGTGAAAATCAAAACCAAAATGTAAATAAGAACTGACCTTTGAATGTGTCACTGATAAGGGCTGCAAGAACGACAGGTAAAGAATGAAGGTTAGATAAAAGTACATTGTTTTGAAAAAAACAGAAAAAGCAAATTTTATTCAGAATGATTGGAAACACACAAAACCAGAGATGAAATTTGATAGAAGTATCAGGTCCAGATCGTTCAAACCATCAAGGGTTTTACTCTTAATGTTACTTATTAACTGTCAACTAACATTATGCAGGCTTTTCTGCAAAATGCTGATTCATTATCGGAAAAGGTAAAGTCAGAAGGACAATAATCTCAATGACAGCAGCTTCAAAATGTGTATTAAACTGAATGCTAATTGATACAAAATCCAGAGATTAAGATACACTGATAAGTGATAACACATTATGCAAATCGTAACACAATTTTTTTGCCCAAGAACATATTTTTCATAATAAAACATTAAACTTTCATCCCAGAAAAGAGAAAGGCCTTTAAACTAACCAAAGTCACCATTTTTTTTTTTCTCAGAGAAAAGCTTCACAGTAAACGAAAGCTTAAGCTTACTTACTACTTAATGGCGAAGGAAGGTCAAGCTGTACAGTGCAGTCGCAGGGAGCACAAAAACACGAAACTTTATGAGTTAAATCCCTCTTCAATAGCCAATATACTGGCGTTACTACGCAGAAACCAATCAAAAACAAACCCACCACCACTACCACCACCAAAACAACCCTCTTGAACTCTCTACTGCTATCCCTACGTGTGAAAGAATGAGCCATGTTCTTTGTTCCCTTGAAAAACGAGTAAAAAATAAACAAAATCCCAAACTTTGTTTTGGTTCCAGGAATGCAAGACAAAAAAAATAATACCCAGTTAGCCGAGTAGAGTTTGGGTACAACTGAATGAGTGAAAACTTTGCTTTTGTGTTTTAGAATAGTACTAGGATCTGAACCAGACTAGAATTCAGAAACTGAATGTGAAGATGAAAAGAAGTAGAGAGTTTTAGAGCGAGGGAAAGATTGTTATTTACTGAAAAAGGACGGCTGTTAAAAAGGGTGATCTGGATTGTTTGTTGGGTTGTGTATTTTGAGATAGAAAATAAAGAAGAACAGATCCCAAGAAAGTGTTTGGTATCTAATGACTAATGATTGTGTTAGTGGGTTTTCAAGTTTGACTCAAAAACATGAAGATGAAGATTTGCATGAACAGCTAGAGGCCAGGTTGTGTTTTTTTATTATTATTTTTGTTGGTTTAAGATAAAGAACAGAATTTTGATAAGGTTTCATTAGATACCCACTTTATCATAAACTAATTAAATAAAAAAATATAATGAGATAATCAATGGCCGTTTGGTTAACTATTTTAACACTTTTTTAGAGTAGTTTTTTGAAAACAGTTGAGTTGTATTTAATAGAATAGGGTTTGGATTTGAATATGTGTTTGGTTCATTATTTGAATATTATATTTGAGTTAAATAAATTAATGAATAATTGTTTGATATATTTTTTCAAAAAGGATATTAAGATTTATTTTGATGCATTTTATTAAAATTTGTTATTATTTGATTATTGAACTTTTCAAAATACATTTAAATAATATTAATTAGTTGTTTGGTAATTTTTTTATCATTGAATTAAAAACAATTTCTCCATAATAATTTCAACTACTAATATATCATTTAAAAACACGGCATTAATACATATCTAAATTAATAATACGAAGCTACTAATAATCATCTCTCAAAATTCTTCGTACCCAATATTCAGTTAACAATACGAGATGGACTCATGTTCTGCTCACATAGCAGTAATTATGCTATCCCTCACAGTTTCCATGTCGTCTGTATTACGCTGAGTCGGTTGATTCGAACCCGTCCCATTTCCTTCCTCATAAACTCCATCGGCATTAAACTTTTGGAAGATAGGGTTGTTCATATCGAATCTGATAAAATTATGAATTATACATGTCATAACAATTTTAGCTTGCTTCTCCAACGGGTAAATGTTCATGCCATCAAGAATGCGGAACCTTTTTTTCAAAACACCAAAGGTCCTCTCCACAACATTCCGAAGCGATGCATGTTTGTAATTAAACAACTCCATAGGTCCAGAAAGGTTACGATGCGCTTCGGGAACATGATAATGAACCCGTCTATGTGGGGCGAGGAACGCACCTCTGTTCGCATAACCCGCATCTATTAAGTAATATTTACCTATAATGAAATACTTAATGTTATTTGAAGAATCATAAAAAAAATGTTTACAGTTTATCTAGAATACATAAAGAAGTTAGTTATACTTGGAGGAGGATGTGAGAAACCCGAATCAAGATCATCTAGAACTGAATTTAGAACCCTTTCGTCATGGGCAAATCCTTCCTAGCTGGTGACGACATATGTGAACAACATATTGAAGTTGCAAACGACCATCACATTCTGCAACAATGCCCCTTTACAATTTTGGTACATATCGGCTACCTCAACTAGTTATGGTTTGTATGGCTAGACGACGCCATCTATACTTGTCCATTTGTAATAATTTGTTCATTAGTTCATACTTTTTTAATACTAACCAAAATATAAATAACATTCAATTTTAAAATCAGTTGACCATATCCAACATATATGAAACATTGCACAACAACACATGGTGTATCGGTTCTTAGAACAAAGCAAGTTAAGTCTTTAATATGAAGAAAGTAAATATAAAACATCTCAAATGTCAAAGGAATAAATAAAGACTAACAAGTGAAAACTACAAGTTCAACAAGGAAGTCAAACACCGTCATCTACATACTATGAAAGTCATTATAAACCCAAAATTCCCTTATCTCCGATGATATGTTCACCATTAGCTGACGCCACTTTGGGTTGGCAATTTAGTACTTCACAACATCCAAATATAGTTGCAGTGGAAGTTGCATACTTTCCAAAATTGTTTGACAATTTTCCAGGGAATATCGATCCGTCCTAGCACTTGTGTTTACTTGGGTCCTATCATCGGCACTACGATTTGATGCCGTAGATCCCATAGTTCTATTGGAAATATCTTATGCCAACTGACCAGTCACACCCAATAATGGGTTTCCTTGCACATCTCTCCTCCTATTTATGGATCTGCTATCTCTAGACCTGTTAGATCGTTTTTCCCCAGTTGATCTATCTAGATTAGGATCGAAGTCATCTGGATCCATGTCTGCTTCGATAGGATCGGGAAAACCCATGTTGGATGCCGCAGGTTGAGACACAAATGTGTAAGCAAATCTGCCAGTTGCATTTTGCTTCTCGAATATGACCTCATATAACTCTCTATCAGCAAGTCCTTTATGTAGGAATTGCTGTGCACCAGGGTTTTGCTGTTACTAAAAACAGACATACATTCATTCATATTTTCCAAAAAAAAAAAAATGCATATCGACTACTGCGTTATAAGAATTGGAAAAAAAAAAAATGTTGTTTACCTTTATATATTCTTCCTATATCTCTTTAGGACATGTTGGAGTTTGGGACTCGTGATCCCAACCAAACCACGTATGTTCTATAAGCACACACCAGGACTTGTATGTCGATCGCAAGCATTGGTACTTAGAAGACAACTGTGACACTTCCAAC